TCAAATAAAATAAATAAATAAATCTGAACAGGTTTTCTGCATTTCGAAGCCCCACCTCCTCTAGGTACTGCCCCTGAGTGCTTTTGAGTGTATGCCCTTCAGAGGAAGCAGGGCTTAGAAGCACCAAGCAGCTGTTTGGACAAAGTATGAACTGGCATGAACTGCCAAACAGAAATTTTAAAGGATCTACATCGATATGAGAACATGTACAGAATTAAAAACTACATCAAACAAATAAGTGAAAAACTAACTTAGAAATAGCATTACTTCACCGCCTTGAAATTATCAGTAAAACAAGTACAGTAATTGCTGCATTGCAAGTCAATGGGTCAATGGTGGGCTACTTTCTTAGTTCCTGCTATGCGAGAATCAAATGGGAATTTTCCAAGCAACCATACCTTTGCCCATGCAATATCTGTGCTGTTGGCCCATGTGATGAAGACATTATTCTGTACGCCTTCTGTGAATGGGGGATAGGGCTCAGTTTCATTGCCTGATATGGCTGGGTCCTAAAATGAAGACAAGACAGATATATATGTATATATATTCTATATATCTTCTAATTCTCTTTATATACTTGACCTGTGTTGATCATGACTTTAAGGTTTTAAAAAGCCTCCAAGGCAGAAAAGCAAAACACATTAAAAAGAGCAACCTATGAACCACACCCCCTGACACTTTTCAGCCTTTGCAAAAAGGTTATTTTTATTAGTTTTTTTTTTCATATCTGTATGCCTCTAAGAATGCAGCTTTTTCATCTAGGACCCATGGGTTGTCCTGCAGGGCCCTCGCCCAAAATATCCAGAATCAAAAGCAGTTATCTGTGAATTTCTTTCTTCCTCTCTTCCTTTCTTTATTCCTTCCTTCCTTCCTTTCCCATTTTCATTTTTTTTGGGGGGTGGAGCCTGTTGTGGGTCCTAAGGGCAAACATTTGACCTCCAGACCTGTCAGGGTTGCCCACCCCAGATTTAAATACATAGCTAAAAACAGACCAGCCAGAAAGCAGCATTTTGCACAACAAAACATATACCTTATCCCAGGGGTGGGCCACATGAAAAATCTGAACTGTGTTTGGGGGCCGAACCAACTTTACTTAAAAATAAAATGAAACAGTGATATTATGATTGTTTTTATTTTAAACTTGTTAATCTTCACAAATACTAAAGAGGTTTTTGGCAGTATGTTAAACATAAGCAACTGATCAACTTTAGACAAAAAGCTATACAGTGGTGCCTCGCTTGATGAGGGTAATCCATTCCAGCGAAATCGCTGTAGAGCGAAATCCTTATCAAGCGAAATAAAAAAGCCCATTGAAATGCATTGAAAACCGCTCAATGCATTCCAATGGGCTAAATACCTCAGCGTCCAGCGAAGATCGTCCATAGGGCGGCCATTTTCCAATGCCTGTGCAGCGAAAAATCTATCCTAAAGCACAGCGGGGAGCCATTTTACACAGCGGGTGGCCATTTTGAAACCCGACGATCAGCTGTTTTGATCGTCATAATGTGAAGAATCGGTTCCCGAAGCAAGGAACCAAGTGTCGGGAAGCGAATTTTGCTCATTAAAATATTGTTTTGCAATTACAAAAAACTCATCGTCAAGCGGATTCATCGTTTAATGAGGTAATCCTTAAGCGAGGCACCACTGTAAATGGTTTCGATGTTCAAAACTGTCCAAGGACCAGGCAGGAGCAGCTTGCAGGCCATATGTGGCCCTCGGGCCGCACTTTGCCCAGGTCTGCCTTATCCTGACCTATTTGCCATGTTCTAGGCAGGTCTGACTTTGAAAGGTGTTTAGAAACCTGAGCTGCTCCAAAGTGCTACAGCTAGACTGTTGACTGAGACCAGGGACATGAACAACTAATTACCCTGTTGCGACAGCTACACTACTTTGTCTCACTCTTGGCCTATAGTTCCTGAAAAACCCTATAAAACCATCTGAAACACTGCATCTTTTAATACACATTTCCATGGATTTTAAGATCATTGTACAACCTCTTGGTCTTGCCACAGGGATATGTAGTAAGAACACAAGAAAAAGCATTTTGGTAGCAGCTCCAATGCTGTGGATATTCCTTCAATGGAAGGCCACACAAGCCTCCTCCTTGCAAAAAGCAAAAATGTATCTCTTTCAGCAAACTTTTTGACCAACTCAACAGGTTGCTCACAGAGACCATCTGGAAGGCAGAATCATGAAAATTGAATACAAACCAAGATGATGATGAATCTTGAACCTTGTGACTTGATGCCCTGAACAAATTGAGGTAGGTCACTGAAGTTCTGGCCAAGAGTAAAGTCTAGCTTCCTTTCCATGTAATCGATGTCTGTATATTGTACATCCTGTGCCAGGATAGAAATTATGAGTTAATATGCAAAACAAACATACAGTAACATGAATCTGTAGCAGGGATAAGACTAAGAAAGAGCAGGGCTTTGAGTAAGAAATCTGAATCAGAAAGAGTAAGGGAGCTCAAGAAGCTGGAGCTGCTGTTGCCATTTGGACTACTGAGGCTCTTGCCAACTTGGTCTAGGGCAGTGGTTCACAAGCTTGGATCCCCAGATATTCTTGGATTGCAACTTTCAGAAATCCTGGCCAGCACAGCAAGAGATGAAGACTTCTGGGGGCCTAGTTTGAGAACCACTGGTCTAGGGTTATGAAGATTCCATAAATGGAGCTGATTTTTCTAGGTATTGAAACCCAATTCAATAGAGAAGGATGTCTTGGATTTTTTTCTGAATTCAAAGGGACACTTGAACTTTCCAATTCTACAAGAAACTTCTGTATTCATGCCATTGCCTAGGACTTGGGTGCACAAATTGTAGCATTTTTGTTGTTAGAACTGCTCGAATTTCTGTTATATAACAGCAAATAAGAAGACTCATTTTGTGAAATTGTTTTTGCAAGGTTCATCAATAGATATCTGAGCAAGCAAACAGGAATATACTGTAACTTAAAAGTGTTACACAAACTCTATTTAGGGATTAATATCTGTATGCATTAGAATATACAGTACACAGATCAGGCCCTCTTTGGCCATGATCCTGTTGGAGTTATTATGCAACAAAAATGGTTTTCATTATTTGGTTTGGTGCTCCATGACAGGGAACCTGACTGGCCACACTTTCAGTAGCACAACTAGTGCGGGGTCAAGCATACACAAAAAAGCACAGATTGTTCACTCATAGTAAGTACATGTATACTGACCAATTTGTTTAGAGTTATGCATTCTGCCTCGCTGCAGTCAGATCCACATGGTTTAATGTGACAAGAAACAGTCATAAATCTCAAAGCCAGCAATAAAGAGGGAAAAATGTCTAAGCTAGATATGCAACATTAGGTCTTCTATTTAGCAGTGAAAATTATTGATACAGTAAAAAAGAAAATACATAACAGACAACTCTCTTGTTACTATAAACAAGAAACAAAACTGTAGTAACACCAGCCAGAGCAAGCAAAGTATGAATTCCCATCAGATCATTAATTACATACAGAGTATGCTGCAATTAAGCTTCTCAGTATTAAAATTTAGACAATTAAGTTTATGGAAAGGCACAACCTGTTCAAAAATATTATAATCTGGTGCACTTCATTTTCTTTCTTTGCTGTTAATCCAGACTTGTTCCTTATGTCCTATAGCCTTTTGCAGAGAAGAGTGATGTTGACAGCAAAACTCATGGACAAAGGGTTACAGGAGATAAGGAACTGCAACTTGTTTTACAGTCTTCCAAGTTGATCATGTCATCATACCACAACATGGTGCTGCATCAATTCCAAAGAATGGTGAGCAGAAGGTAAATAGTTGTTGGTATTCCTTTGTAAAACTTTTCATATAAGACTTTATACTAGCATTCAGGCAGTTTAATAAAAAGTAAGCTCTCTCACTCTACTTGTGTGTCTCCTTGTGGGCTTTGTCATGCAATTGATTTTAATTTGCACAAGGCCCTAGAGCAATGGTTCGCAACCTTGGTTAACCCCAAAGTTCTTGGACTGCAATCCCCAGAAAAACTTAATCACCAGCTGTGTTGGCTGGGGTCTCTGGGAGTTGCAGTCCAAGAACACCTGGGATACCCATGGTTGGGAACCACTGCCCTAGAGTGAAACACCAGGTAGCCCTCTTTTCAGAAGGACATCTTTGGAATCAACTTGTTGCAGATAAAGTCCATACATTTTCTGCTCCTTTTAGTCTCAAAGTTATCAAAACGCTACATATTTTTGTTTGTTATCCTTGAGTCCATGTATTTCTAAGTAACAATATATGGATGCATGTGATACAGAGTAGTAGTAGTAGTAGTAGTAGTAATAATAATAGTGATAGTAATAGTAATAGTAATAATAGTAGTAGTAGTAGTAGTAGTAGTAGTAGTAGTAGTAGTAGTAAATAAATAAATAAATAAATGAATATGATTACAACAGCTATTTTTCATATTCTATATCCAGGTCTCTCCACCACCATTAATGAGATTACAGTAGATTCCCATGTAATTGTGTTAATTATTATTTCTTTTTCAGGCATGCTGGATGAGAAACAGCATGAATAAATTGCTATGGGATAAAACTTACATAAGGTATTTTTGCTGCCCTCATTGCATCATACAGATCAGCGACTTCAGATGTATTTTTGTATCCATAGCGACAAAGCTGGAATCCCAAGGCCCAATAAGGTGGCATAACCGGTCGTCCAATTAGCTACAGATAATATAATTTGGGGAGAAATATATACATAAATGAATTAAGAGGGGAAATTGAGAGAATACAACCAACTATATGGCACCAGTCCTAGTATGCCTACAAAGAAATGATCAAATAAAAAACATTTCTCAGATGGAAATTTATATGCCTCCATCAATACATGCATATAGTTGATTTAACTTGACCTGAACTATCATAATATGTTCACTGAAATGGGTATGTGGATTCACTCAAAACCTTGTCTCTAAGCTGAGGCCCCAGAAGCCTTGTTGGATCAGGCCCTATATATTAAAATATTGAATATGTCTTACTCTAGTGTATCCTTGAACCACTTCTTCTGGAGTAGGCCCCAAAACCATGTAGAAGTCCAGAATTCCTCCAATTGTGCGATATGTCAGAGCAGGTGTTGGTTGGAAGGTGACGTCTGAGTACCAAAAGACAAGAGATAAGGAATTAATGATGGTTTGCCTCAAATGTATATGCAATGGATAAAACTGTTCAGATGAAAAAGTTGTCATTTACCCATAGCGTTGCTGGTCAGCAAAAGGACTCCATGAGCACTTCCATCATTTTCCAGTCCCATGTAGAAGGGATGGAAGCCATAGGAATTCAGTTTGTACTGTTAAAACAAAACCAAACATGCACATTGCATTTCTGCTCCTCCAAAGTCCGTCCATCTTCAGCAGAGAAGTTTTTACTATATATATTTCCCCTGGATAACTATAGATGGAGAAAGCATATTTGGAATTGGAACACATTAATCTTTAGCCACTGAATTGCTATTGCACTTCAGTCAACTTTCTTTTTGCTAATTTGGGCCAAGCTACATGTTCCGTTGAGTAAGCAGCACTATGTAGTTTCAAAACTTTTGTAGCTTTCCCCCCCCCCCTTTTTGCTCAAAAAATGCATTACAGGCATGGATGTAATGCATTTTTTAAATGATTCCATTGGGGTTGAAATGTGTATATGGGGTAAAAGTTCTGGCCACTCTCAGGATGAGACAATGGCACAACAGATGGGTATGAAATTCAGGGAGGAAAGTATCTACTGGAAAGCGTAAGCTTTTAAGAAAGAAAATGTAAATTCATCAGTCTAATTTCCACAGCAGAAGGGGAGAATAATAATATATTGTTAAAAAGATTAGAAGAAGAACATTCCTCTTCCCAGAGCTGTACTTACACCAGGAGGCTGATCTTTAGTGAACATTCCCCAGCTCTCCCAGTTCATATCTCTCCGGAAATGAGTGTGTTCATTTTCTCCAAATCCATATATGTATTGTGATGGCAGGCGAGTAGCAATCTGAATGAACATGTCACTGAAGGTGAAGCCTGGGACCTGAGAATCCCATCTGGAAGAGAGGGGTGGTTACTTCATATCATGAGTGACATGAAAAAACTGAAAGGGGGACTAAAATTAATCATAATTCAAAGACACAAATTGTTACAGATTTCCTTCTCTCAAGTGAGAATGAATAGACAGACAGACAGATTTAGGTAGTCAGATGTTTAAAAACAAGCAAAATAAAGAAAGGTTTTGTACATTTTCTTGTGAGTGATTATCTGTGCAAAAGCATCTTTTCCTTCTTCTAGTCCTGCTGCTACTGACAAAAAATGTGGCTATCTTTTAGCTCTAATGCAGAGCAGAAAGATTTCATAGCAGTTAAGTTTTTGGGGAGGGGGGACTGGTTGAATAGTTAATGAAACAGTCACATCTTTAGTCTTAATGGAAATAGATCTCTTCAGCGTTTCCCATCCTGGTAAAGCGACCCCAAGTGTTCCAAATTATATTAGCAAATTAGTGTGAGGTTCAGACAGAAACATGCTTCTTCTGGAGAATAATGCATTGTAACTGGCTTACCAAGTATTCCTCGTTAAAACAAAAATATCCATGACAAACCAAGTGATTCTTCCAAAATTTTCTTGATCTGGATTTTCCTCTAGCCTAATTTTGTAGTAGATATGTTAGGAATAAATCCATAAGAATTTTCCTTCATTCTATTTGTTTCATAGTTCTTAATTCTGTTCAGAGGCCTGGGCATGCATAGTTCCCCCCCCCCCAGTTCTTTTATGTCTTACTTTATTACAGCACCACAATTATCACCTGATATTGATAAAATATTACTCAGTGGTTCAAATCCAGTAGCAAATCACAACTAGAGTAGGCCTACTAAATCAATAGAACTTACAGAGGAACTGATTCATCAAACACTTACTGATTCAATGGGCCTATTCTAGTTGCAAGTTACTGCTGGATCTCACCCAGCAGCCAGATTCCTGATCATCAAAGCACAACATTACATTAAGGTAAAGGTCAAGGTTCCCCTTGACATTTAGTCCAGTCATGTCCGACTCTCGAGCGTGGTACATGACATTTAGTCCAGTCATGTCCAACTCTCAAGCGTGGTGCACATCCCCTTCTCCAAGCCGTAGAGCCAGCGTTTGTCCGAAGACAGTTTCTGTGGTCATGTGGCCAGCGCAACTAGACATGGAATGCCATTACCTTCCCACTGTGGAGGTAACTATTTATCTACTCGCATTTACATTCTTTCAAACTGCTGGGTTGGCAGGACCTGGGACAAGCGATGGGAGCTCACCCCATCGTGTGGATTCAATCTTACGACTGCCAGACGTCTGACCTTGCAGCACCTTCTGAGGTTTAACCTGCAGCGTCACCAGGTCCCCATTACATTACACCTGTATAAATGAGCTGAGTGTTCCACAAGATTGCACAAGTTGACTGCACAGTTTTTCCCATTTGACTAATTGTTCAGCGTGCCAGTGGAAGTCCTTCATAATTGGTAAATCCACCTTAGTGTGCTTGTACAGTTTTTCCCATTTGACTAATTGTTCAGCATGCCAGTGGAAGTCCTTCATAACCGGTAAATCCACCATAGTATGCTTGTAGCTGCTGGGGATGTATTATCTTACATTTTAGATTGGTTGGCAAGAGGAGAAGGGGACGACCAAGGATGAGATAGCTGGACAGTGTCTGCGAAGCAACCAACATGAATTTGACACAACTCCGGGAGGCAGTGGAAGATAGGAGGGCCTGGCGTGCGCTGGTCCATGGGGTCATGAAGAGTCAGACATGACTAAATGACTAAATGAACGTGCTTGTAACTGCTGGGGATGTATTATCTTACATTTTATATTAGATTGGTTTTAATTCATATGTGCCATCAATGACTTTTACCAGTGATAGGACCTACATTTTATTATAAATAACCCCAGGAAAGGTGTTTGATATGGAACAACAACATTACACCTGTATAAATGAGCTGAGTGTTCCACAAGATTGCACAAGTTGACTGCACAGTTTTTCCCATTTGACTAATTGTTCAGCATGCCAGTGGAAGTCCTTCATAACCGGTAAATCCACCATAGTATGCTTGTAGCTGCTGGGGATGTATTATCTTACATTTTATATTAGATTGGTTTTAATTCATATGTGCCATCAATGACTTTTACCAGTGATAGGACCTACATTTTATTATAAATAACCCCAGGAAAGGTGTTTGATATGGAACAACAACATGTAGTAAAAGTCATAGAATCATTATTGCGTAATGCATAAATTCTAAACACTGGTCAGAAACTTGCTGGCCATGTGTGATATGAAATATAAGCAGTGACTCGCAAACTGGAGGCAATCTACTACTACAGTTTTTGCCACTGCACTTATACTGGCATAAATAACCAACAGGAATCTAGCCATTATGTTTACAAATCCAATTGAGCGTCCCAACTAGAGCAGACTTCACTTACATAACCGTTCCTGTGCTTTTTCGGTGGATCCTTATGCCAAATGGATTGTCCACAATTTCCACCTGATAGAGCCGATTAGCCTCTGAACTTTCAGGAACATCTGGGGTGAAGAGTGGAACTGGAACTTCATATCTTTTGGAGTTGGGATCATATATCTAGAAGGAAGACATCACTACTGCTCATTGGGTATAAATGTGCAATAAAACCATGTTATTCTTTTGGTCTTACAAGAGATTTTTTTTTGTTTTTGATTGTGTAAGAATTGTAATAATCACAAAATATCCAGGAAACCTCAGACGTTTTTCTAGGGGTTGTGGGGCGGGGGAATCTCATGCAGAGAAATATCACTGTGGAGAGAAAGATTACTTTTTCCCAATTTCTCTATGATAGCATGAGACTGTGAGGTTCACATTCTCACAGCTGAATCATGTAAGGAGCTTCAAGACAATTGAATGACCACTTTCACACAAGAATGGAGTCTTATTAATGAGCAACGATATGTCTTCAAAGATAACTCAGTCCTATTATTTATGGAACTTGCTTCTGATTTTGATGGAACTTCACATTTACTGTCCTGCCATAGAAAACCTCAGTTGTGGCAGGGGTTTGCTTGACACCCATTGATTCTTAATAGCTTTTCATCAAATATATAACCCAAAAGCTAACATGCGCTCATTGATGTCAGATCATGGAACTTGTATTTGGCAGTTGCTGCAGTGATGCTTCAATGCAACAAACAATTGTGGTGACACACTATGTAATAGTTTAAACTTTACTCAGATCATGTGTACTGTTGCTGTTGGGAAATGGCCTCTGGCTTATAAGCTGTAATGTTCCATAGCTTTCAGCCAAAAAACTTAAAACGAGAAAATTAATGTGTCTTACGACATTATATTCACCTTAAATTGCAACATGTCATTGTAATGGTACTTCACTTCCAAGCGAAGCTGGTCCACTGGTGGTGACCTAGTTCCATAGGGGTTCGGAAACTCAGTATTCCTCTGAAGGTCAGCTGACAAGCCCACATTACTGTTTTGAATGTTACTGACAGAATAACCATAGTTACGAGGATAAAAACAGTGTGGAATTCCAGGAGTAGAAACAACCTGAAACAAAATGAGAAATAGTCGATACTAAATTAAGACATCCAATTTCAATTGGAAATCTAAACTTGAATCTCAACTGGAAGCATGGTACAATGAAGATTGGAATCTTGCTACAAATGATAAATTGACTTGTATTTTAAAAGTTAAGAAAGGTAAGATAAAAAAAAACTTTTTATGATATATGGGGTAGATTTATTGAATTTCTGTTAATAAGAGGAAGAGGTAAAGTCCCAATACAAGGATCAATGCAGTTCTGGAAAGGAGGATAATGAAAAGAAGAGCTATCTAGAAGGTCCTGATGGTGGTGGGGAGCACAATTATTTTAGTTTGTATCTTGTATTTTGTATCTTGTATTTTGTAAAATGAAAAAATTAAGAAAAAATTAATTCCTGACTTTTCTTTTAACCCTTTTCTATTTTATTATAACTGTTATTGAATGATTATGTACATTTTGCATTTTATTGTTTTATTTTGTGTTGGAAGCCGCTTAGAGTGGGCCGGTGGCCCAGATAGGCAGGATACAAATCAAATAAATAAATAAAATAAATCTTGTATTTTGTAAAATTAAAAAATTAAGAAAAAAAATTAAGACATTGAGCTTTATTTCTAAATACGACATGCTTTTACCATATTTGTGCATAATTGAAATTATTTTGCATAGGTTGGTGTTTCTTGATTGGGGGAAAAAAGATTGTTAAACAACCAAGCAACTACAGAAGATGTTTTGATATATATATCATAGGAAAGTGATCCATGTAGCTTCAGGACACATATTCTTAATGAGCCAATTAAAGGGCTTGTCTACACAGGTTCGTTTGGAGCAGGCTGGTGCAGGCTAAAAAAGGTTGGAGGTGCAATATGCCATCTGGTATGATCCTCACTTCCTACCTGTTAGAGCATTAAGACAAGAGAACCAATTACTTCAGGAGGAAGTGAGTGCTCCAATGCCAGAGGCATGCAAGAGAAAATTGGACAACCATCTGTCAAATCTGCATTGATTCGGATTTCTGCACTGAGCAGGGGGTTGGACATGATGCCTTATAGGCCCCTTCCAAGTCAGTTATTGTATGATCCTAGGAAAATACTCCAAAGTGTTGCAAAATTAGGGAATATGTATATATGTTTTGAAAAATACATGTTTACTGGCTAAAGAAGTGAAGCCATGGGTAATCCTAAATAGGATGGCATAAATTCTAATCTGACTGCAGCAACAACAAAGTGTTCCCTTTAATTCATTTCACCAATTGCATCTTGCTTACCTGCCAGATGCAACCACGATTTTCACAAGTGACTTGGGTCGGTTCAGGATATGGATAACAGTCAAACTTTTCTGTCTCTTGATTCCATCGCACTGTATATTCTTGCCCCAATGCAAGCTCAAGGTTTGTAAGGTGTAAAGCCTTTGGGAATAAAAGAAACAACTTTACATGAAATATAATAAAATGACCGGGTACATTATATCAGAGCCTCGTATACAGATAAAATGTCCTTTTTAATTAGAGTTTATATATGAAGTAGCATTGGACTTTTATTGCAGAGTCTATATTATAAGTAAACACTGGACATGTGAGAGTAAAAAAAAAAGGAGAATCAGAATAAAGGAACCTCCTCTACTCATCTGTAAAGTTCCTAAGGAAATAATCCCCCAGAGACAGAAGCCAAATAAAATTGGCAGATTCCAAGTTAGGGCAATTTCTGCCAAGTTAGGGCAATTTCTGTAAGTCAAATGAGTTGGAAAGATCAGTGACCAGGGAATAAGAGCATCAAAAGAAGGATAAACCAGGAAGGGAGAAGTCAAGACTTTGACTGAGAAGACAGCTTAGACATAAGATGTCAGCAAACTATTTTAAACTATTATTCATTGCAGAAGATCCACAGGTTTAAGTGATGTAATTTGAAATATGTTTTATCAACTAGTCTTGGGACCTGATTTGGACATCAGATATCATATACGCTCCATCTAATCTATGAGCTTTGCAGGTTTTATGATGGGCTCATTTATGTAGCATTATGAGAACTAATATTTGACTTAATAACTTGTTTCCCCAGCATATGACTACAAAAGAAGGGTTTCTGCAATTTCTAAGCATGTGTAGAACATTATGGAACCATGAGGTGACATGGTTTGGGACCACAAGACCTTTCAAAATGTCTTTCACCAATGTCATCTGCATGACCCACCAGAGTTTTCCAGATTAAACTTCTCTGGATACTCCCCAAGGGAAGCCCAGAAGCTGTCAACAAGAAATCAGACCTTTTCCACAGTGGTCTGGATACTCCCCAAGGGAAGCCCAGAAGTTGTCAACAAGAAATCAGACCTTTTCCGCAGTGGATCTGATACAGTGGTGCCTTGCTTGACGATGATAATCCATTCCGTTCAAATCGCTATTAAGCGAAATCGTCATCAAGCGAAATTAAAAAACCCATTACAATGCATTAGAAGCCATTAGAATGCATTAGAAACTGATTAATGTGTTCTAATGGATGAAATACCTCATTGTCCAGTGAAGATCCTGCACTGGGTGTCCATTTTTCGGTGCCTGTAAAACGAGCAATCAGTGCATTGTCCAGTGAAGATCCTGCATAGGGCGTCCATTTTTCGGTGCCTGTAAAGCGAGCAATCAGTGCTGAAAACAGTGGAGAGCCATTTTGCACAGCGGGTGGCCATTTTGCAACCCACTGAAAACAGCGGGGAGCCATTTTGCATGGTGGGTGGCCACTTTGCAACCCAATGATCAGCTGTTTTAAAATCATCGTTAAGCGAACAATCGGTTCCTGAAGCAGGGAACCAATCGTCGTCAAATGAAAAAAGCCCATAGGAACAAAAAACCATCGTAAAGCGGATTTGTTGTTTAACGAGGTAATCGTTAAGCGAGGCACCACTGTATTGTGAAACCAGCTCCCAGAGGACCAGTGCTTGCCCCCCTCCCTGCTAACATTCAGAAGATAACTTTAAACTAGAGATGGGCATGAACCTTGGTTCAGAGATTGATGCCAGTTCATTGGACTGGCACCACAGGTGCGATACATTCACTTCTCCCTCTCCCCTGGCTAGATGCTCCACTCACCAGCCAGCATACATTGTTCTTCTCCTCCTCTTCAGGTGTTCAGCCAGTCCTGGCAGGAGTTTGTGCTTCCCTCTTCTGCCTCCACTGGCAGATGCCCACTCATAGGCAGTGCTGTAGAAATCCCTGCCCTCCCTCTTTATCTCATGCCCACTCAAAGGCAGTGCTGCAGAAATCCCTGCCCTCCCTCTTCATCTGAATGGGTGGCAGCTGGAGGAGGTGGAGAAGGGAAGAAGGCACTCCTGCTGGGACTGGTTGAACACCTGAAAAGGAGGAGAATGGCAGTGAATGCTGGCTGGTGAGTGGAGGACCTGCCCAGGGAGTGTGGGAAGCAAAGGTGTGTCACCTGTGGTGCCAAAGGCAGTGCTGCAGAAATCCCTGCCCTCCCTCTTCATCTGAATGGGTGGCAGCTGGAGGAGGTGGAGAAGGGAAGAAGGCACTCCTGCTGGGACTGGTTGAACACCTGAAAAGGAGGAGAATGGCAGTGAATGCTGGCTGGTGAGTGGAGGACCTGCCCAGGGAGTGTGGGAAGCAAAGGTGTGTCACCTGTGGTGCCAGTCCAATAAACTGGCACAAACCCCAGAACCAAGGTTTGTGCCCATCACTATTTAAAACATTGCTATTCAGTGAAACTTTCTACACCAACCTAATTTAATGTTGATCTTTCGCTCCTTGTTCTGCCATCATTTAGATAATGGTTCTTGGTGCTGTTTGCTTTTATTTTATTAATGTCTTAATATTTATTAAATTATTATTTAGTATTTAGTACACATAGTATACACATACCGCCTCATTAGTGCAAATAAATAAATATAGGTACAGTGTGACTTTTCCACTTTTCAAATAGAACAGCAAGAAAATGCAAGAGTTCATGGGGAAAAACAGCAAAGTACCACGACATTTTGAGATCTGTATACTGGGAATAATATCTACAGTGCAAATACGCCCAACAGAAAGGTTATGGGGGAACATCATAAATATTAACAATATGATGGGAGATTGAACACAAGTAGAATAATATTTCTTTACATGTACCATGTTTAAATTCTGGAATTCATTTCTAGTATGACGATGGATACCAAGGACACATTGAAGTAGAATTAGCAGATCCATAGATTGTAAGATGAACAGTTGCAATGCATTAGGAGGTTTATATGCTAGGTGCAGCATCCAAGACAAAAAGCAAATTGCTGAAATCTGATAGTAAGTTGCAACTAACATAGTTCCATTAATGGAGATTTGGCAAGTCAATTCCTCCTTAAGTTCCATTGATTTAATAGGTTTACTCTAGTTACAACTTACTACTGGATTGTAGTATCTGAATCACGGTCCTTGACACCAATGGTAGAAGAAAGCTACTGTCTATACATCCTTCATATGAACTTCCCATTAGACTCTGTTTAGCTTCTGTGAAAGCAGGATGATGTTTTAGGCAGTGCCCTTTTTATGGGGTTCACAGTGCCAACATTATTTTTATTCTTACCTGAGACGAAGAATTATAGGTTGTGTTATAGTTGGACGAAATTGGCACACCATTTTGAAGTACTGTAACGGAGAAAATGGAGCCGCCTACTAGTCCTAGGATTTTAATTTCACCAATTTTTAAGTTGTTTGGGTCAGTATATCCACGGTGGGTGACACTGATGTCCAAGACACCCTGAAAGACAGGTTTCCCTAACATGATTAGTTATAACTACAGTACTTAAAAGTTTTTGTTACATTTGGCTCCATTTGGTTCTAGTTCCTTTCACCATGCGAACTACCACTTGAAAAGCAACACTGGGAAAAGTTTTTGTTACATTTGGCTCCATTTGTTTCTAGTTCCTTTCACCATGTGAACTACCACTTGAAAAGCAACAAGTGAGCAGCACAAATAAAGTACCGTAAGTATAGTGCATTTTTAAAATGTTTAATAACATTTTAATATTAATCATATCTTGCCATTATCTTTTTTTTAGCAATGTCTGTTTTGCAATCATGTTTCAGTATTGCCTTGGATTGCCTTGCCTTGAATCTCAGTATTGTGAGAATAGAGGGTTACTAAATAAATAGATAAAAATTGGCAAAGTATGTAAGACACCCAGTTCTAAAAATATAAAAACCATAGTGTACTGGGTCATTCTGACTTTGATGTCAATCAACCAGATGTTTTAATATACATTTAGTAAAATAATTTAACTGGGCAGACACATATGAGACAACAGCTTTCCAATTAGAACCAGAGGTATCTGAAGAAGGAAAAGACATTTGATTATTGTCCAGTACCACTGAAAAGTCTGCACGATACAAATTAGCTTGCTTTTGTTTAGTGACTGGTCCTGATGAGGTAGGCAATGACTCTGCACATTGACGGTGGAAGTCTAGCTGCTGCAAAGGCTATGTTTTATCATGTTCTTCCTGCACAAGGAAGTATTCAGAACTCACTAAAAAGAAAGAGTCCCATTCTTTGCATTAATTAACATGGGTTTCCCCACCCCCCTCCACTCAATTTATCTAAGCTCAAAAATGCTGCTTGTCATTTCAGGAGATAAATTATGTGGTGTAAATCTGGAAAGTTGAAAATATTCGTAATTAACATAATGGTCAGAATCCTGTTGGAGCAGCTCTATGATCCTAAGGCTGATGATGTCATCAGCCATGGCCTTTTATTTATAATTGAAGTTTCCTATCCTTCCTACAAGAGTCTGAGGCTCCCTTTCAACCCAGGGAAGCTATTGGAGATCTTGGGAGGGGGAGTTTTAATGTAAAAAAAAATACTATACACCCTGTTTCCAGAGCAGGACCATCAGTGACACTTTTTGGATAGTAAAGACTTCCCTTAATAGTCTTCCAGTGATTCCCCCAGGTAGAAAGGGATCCACAATTAACCTTGGAATATGAAAGGGGAGAAAGGTCATTAATTAAAAATAAAAGGCCCCTACTGATTACATCATCAACCTTACATGCACACAGCAGCAGCAACAGGACTCTTGGCTACGTGTGGTTAAAGTAATTGCTGGTATTTCTATTATAATTTATAAAGCGTATGTTGCAAGTTTTGTAAGATTAGTTTTCATTATTTTCATTTCACTTAACAGGAACTGCCATGGAGTAACACAATAGATTTGTGTCAAATAGTCCATTATCAGATCAAGAGCTTGCCTGTTTATAACATTTTAGTAGTTGAACAAAGGCATCACCACACCTCTTCACATTATCAGCTTCATTATCTCCAGATCTTACTTAGATTTAAAAAGAACAAATTATTTAAAGCTGCCTTTAATAACAGCATCTCCAGGATGCTGTCAATAACAATAAAACAAAACACAATTCTAGATTTTTTTATAGAGTAGACCTTTGGTCTAGATGGGCAGGATAGAAATCTAATAAATAAATAAATAATCCATATTTACGGTTATAATTACTGTATGTTGTATTGTTGTGTTGTGTACTAATCATATATAATTTGTTATTGTGGGGTGTTGAATGAGTTTTAATCTTGTGTAAATTGTTTAATATAATACTTGCACTGAATACACACAGACAGACAGACAGACAGACAGACAGACAGACAGACAGACAGACAGACAGACAGACAGACAGGTGTATGTATGTATACATTTCCCTAAGAACCCATTCTGCTATTGCTAAAGATATGCAGGGTCATCCATTATTTCCGTGAGCATTTCTGCTATGCATAAAAATCATGTCATACATCCAGGATGTTTGATATGCTATTTTCATCATAGAAGGTTTTTACAAATTGTTCATTCATATGCAACTTTGTATCATAAGAGAATCCAGCCTTCCTCATCATTTAAAGGTACAAAGGTCATATGAGAGATCTATATCAATAAATGCTAGATTTCTCTTTTGTTTGGCACAAGTATTGTACTCATAGCTCTCCACTCAAATGCTAACATTCTCATTAATTTGTATTCTTTCTCATAAAATTAAAGCAATGAGCGCACGGTTTGAACAACAAAGCAAAAGAGCATCACAATGTTGAACATTTAGAAATTAATAAAATAAGGACCACCTAACTCAATCCAAGTTATCTTACTGTGTCATACACTGAATTATTTTATTTCAGTGAACCTAACATAATTTCAAAATTTGTTGCCAAGTTCAGAATACCTGTTTGCTGATGGAAATGGGGTACTGGAATTTATGCATGTTCGTTACATTTTATCTATCATCTATTGCATTTACTAGCAAGTAGTTCCTTTAAGTTTTAAAAATTATTTTTAAAAACATAAACAAAAAGATAAAGAAGTTTACACAACACTACCAATAAATCAACTTCAAAATAAATAAAACCACAAGTCACAGACTCCACCCCTGCAAGTTCTTTCTGAACTCTGCAATCATATACAGTGGTCCCATGGAAAAATAATAACAGTTGAGGTCCATGTGACTAAATGTTCCTTTGTCTAGTTTGGCATCTTGATTGTACTGCATACATGGACATCTTTTTGTGTAAATTACTTAGAGCAGTAGTTCCCAACCTTCGGTCCCCAGATGTTCTTGTACTACAACTCCCAGAAATCCTGGTTATCACAGCTAGAGGTGACAGCTTCTGAGAGTTTTAATACAAAACATCTGGGGACTCAAAGCTAGGAACCATTGAGTTAGACAAATCAAGATTTGCTTAGCTCTGCAGAGCGCGGACATCCTATAACCCCAAAGAATACAAGATTAGAAGGTATGCATACCGGACTGGCTTTAAATGTGTGCAGGAGGTAAAGACCTTTCTCATATGCATCTGTAAGACACAAAAAGTGACAGTAATCTTCTATATATCTATTATTTGTCTGATAAATAAAGAGCAAGTGTCCCCCCCCAATAAATAAAAACGTATGAGTACAAGAAAGCAATTTTCACTGATTTGTGGACATATAGCAATCAATGCGTTTCTGCTGTAGAAACATTGTCTTAAAGTTATTGTCTTTAGTGGCTACAGAAGAAAAGCTGTTATTTTTTTAAAAAAAGCCATTTTGATCACAGATTTGTATTTAAGAAGACTTTTTTAAAAAAAATCTACATTATATAGGTATACTGTTCAGGATTCATTCCTGCTCTTTCTTTCTAACAGGCATGATCCCCTCAAATATATGCACTCTTACTGGGATACAGTTAAGCATATAAAATTGAGATTTAAAGTCAGTTTTCGTCTCATACTGCTTAAATCATTTCCATAATACATGTCAGCTGGAATCCTGTTGGCATAAATTTATACCATGCAAGCTGGATGATATCATCTGGTGATAGAAATCTTTAATGCAATTCAATTAAAGTCTTCCTACTACCGCTCACCCACCCTTGCTTTTCAGAGCTTCTCTGTGAATCCTTCGTACCCTTGGGAAGCCTTCAAGAGCCCCAGGTCTGCAGAGATGCCTTTAATTTTGGAAAATTCCCATCAATGGTCCTGATGCCAGATCATCACCACTATGGCAATCTGGCAGCAATTTTCCAAAAAGTTTTCGTTTTTAAATTGTCTTTTAAAAATTGATTTGAAAAATTGACTTCAATCTTAATATATGTATAATTCCTATTTAAAATATGATATGAAATAGAAAGTGTTGCCCAGACCCATCCAAGGGCTACCAAAAGCTTTCCATGGGTAAAAGAGTCTCTAGGGAGCCTCTGAACCAGTAGGAATTAGGTTTTTTTTTTAAATGTTGCCCCATTATTGGATGGGTCTAAATCCTTAAGACCAGGCTGTTGGCTCCTCATACATGGTTTTTAACAAGTGAAATTACACCAGTGTTTTAGGAGGTAATCTTAAGTATAGTTTTGTCTTTGTGACTTGAGATATTATCAGAATGAGATTTAGGTTAATAGTATACCTTTCGCGCGCGCTCCCTATTTTTTCCAGTACCATTTGATTTTACTACATCAACCACAACTACTAATTCTTCATAAAACAAACATATATCACAATGCCTAAGCCAATTTACACTGAAAATAATAATGATGAGGACTTATCTACAACAGAGAATAAAATGCAGGCCTACAGCATTATTCTCCCAGTTTCAGATAGATTGTGCTGGCACGCAGAAAAGCCGTGTTGTGGACTCTCAGTAATTCTTGAAAGAATTACTGCAACATGGCTTGGCTTAATTTCAAAAAGCTTTCTAAAGAGTGATTCATTCAGAAAGAGAATGGAAGAAAGAGGATAGGAAAGAAGGTTGACCCAGCCATTTTTTATTCTGACCTTACCCACTCTTCACTTTAATCATCCATTACTGACTCCAGAATTAATAATTCCAAGGGACAACCCACCAATGCCCTCAGGCATATCCCCCAGAATCTGAGTACTGATTACACTTATGTAATAATGTAAATTTTGGCAGCAAATTGCTACTCATTAAGGACCTGTCAGTTGCGTCCCAGGGCATGTACCAATCATGTGACTGGTTGCACAGTAAATAATTGAACCAGCACCACCTCAGTGTACAGCAATATACCTCCAAGATTTACATGATCTCTCTTATGTAAAGAGAATTTGGTAGGAAGATTTCGGCTTTGAAGTAGTTCAATAGCATCTAAAAAGGTTTACATTCATCTGCCCAAAAGTCCTGTTAGGTTGGTTACTGTTAAACCGTTTACACTTACCAATTGTTGTACCATCATCCCAATAAAGGAGCCCCTGAGCAGACTCGTTATCATCTAAAGCAACTGTAAGACCCATCATCTTCTTTCGGCTAGAAAGTTTGAGAAACCATTTAGAAAAGAAACACCAATTTAATTGTTTTATAATCAAACTACAGAGCCGCTGCAATACAGGTTTCTCTCATCTTTTCAGACATAAGCATTTGATGTACTTTCTATTTTAATTCTTACTATTTCTGAACAATAAACATGGGTTTGCTCTTGTCTACCTACTCACCATCCACCTTAAAAATTGTGTAGGGACTCAAAGCATGTCTGATCATACCTGGCCTCAGTGTTTAAACCAGGCAGTTGCCATGGAATGATGTAGCCACCTCTGAGATGCAGATTTATGTCTTCAAGGGGAGTAGATATGTTTTGGAACTGTCCCCGCACTTTCTCAACTTTATCCTGCTTGCGACAAACAAGAATTAATAGTTTTATTTCAAACATGAAAGTCTATGTCCATAATTAAATGCAACGGCAACTGACTATTGAAAGATTCCATCCTCAAATGATTCCAAGCAAACTACAGTGGATGCAATTAAGTTAAAAATAATTGGATTCTTCTCTCAGCTGCTTACCTTTGTGCCATTTCCTTTGCTGTAGACAATTAACTCTCAGCCCCACATGAAAATCAGACACACTTATTTCCCATAGGAATTAAAAGGACATAAAACAGAGGTGTGACCAACTTGACAGACTGATTTCAGATGGCTGATGGACAAAAATGAGGCCATTTCTTCTGCTTGATAGATAGGGATTAGCTTTGCAATAGATCTGTTCTTTCTAAATCAGTTTTTTTTAAAGTTAAGATGATTGTGAGCTCATTAAAGTCTATCAAACTGGATCCAGACTGTTTTAGCCAATTTGAAATAAGAAGAAAGGAAGCTAGCCATGACCACCTCAAATTCTGTACATGTCAGCAGTCATGTTTTGGGTACAAGTAAACTTTTGTCCAACCCACTGAGTTCTTAATAATGCCATGCAGTGAGAAGACTGACTCAGACTATAATCTGTAACATAACTAGAGCAAACTTTATTTTCATGTTTTAGCTCCCATTTTCAGCTAAAATGTATTAGTTAACATAACTAGAGCAAACTTTATTTTCATGCTTTAGCTCCCGTTTTCAGCTAAAATATTAGTTAACATAATAACAGACCATTCTCCTCTGCCCCAAATAATGCTACAGTTCTTGCAGAGAAAAAGAAATAGATTTTAATTTAAAAAAACTTACCGTGTAATAATTATACCAGGGAGCATCAGGAAAATAAGCTTCCACTATTGTAGCATTCTAAAATTTTAAAAATTTGTTAAAGTTAGAGGAGGGGAAAAAACTAAATTTAGGTTTTTGGGTTCTTTTTAAGAAAAAGTGGCCATACATACAGTATTTACATATTATTTCTGTACTTACTTCATGCAGAACTGGGCTTATGAGCAATGCAGGTCCCCACAGAAACTGTTCATATATATCCCATGTCGTCTTATCATCAGTAAACCTGAATCCAACATAGTAATTTATCCTTAGTGCAATATTTTTAATGTTTTAGTTTTGTGTTGTTTGATTTTAAATTATTCTCATTCAGAGCACAGAATGCTGTCCTCTGAAGATGCCGGCCACAGAGACTGGCGAAACGTTAGGAAGAACAACTTTCAGAACACAGCCAAAAACTCACAACAACATTAGCTCCCGGCCTTGAAAGCCTTCACGAATACATTATTCTCCTTCCCTTGTGAATATTTAAATAGGACAGACAGATAGATCAACAGATTGATCCTGAACAGCAACAGGAAAGGCATGACCAGGATGTGCCACCAAGGGTATTTTTGAACTCCCTCTCCTCCAGCTTCCTTGGACCCTCTCCAATGCAAAAAGCAGCTTTTCTGTAGCTAAAAAGGTAAAAAGGTGCTGTTCATGGAGGTCCATGGGGAGTGACTCAACTTTTAAACAGGTGGCAGAAGAATCTCCCCTACCTCTTTCTCTCTCCCTCCCTCTCTCTCACACATACATAGTTTAGAACCAGAAGTGTCCATATGCCCTTCAGACAATTCTAGGAGAAGAAAACCAACCCTAAACTAACCAAAGTTCACCAACTAACCAGCATTCATCTACCATATTCTGTGTTTATCTAATTCAAGTAAAAATATGGCAAGGCATGAATAAAACTATGAACATTTAGGAGATCTTAGAAGGACTTAGATCTCCAAGTGGTGAAGAATAGAGTTGTATGAGGATCCATAATTTCAACCTGATTGTTGCAGATTACATTTTTCCTCATTTGTGGGCTTACATTCAATATGGCACAATCAATCAACCAATTTATTTATTTATTTATTTATTTATTTATTTATTCATTCATTAATTCATTCTATTAATATTCCGCCTATCTGGTCATTATGACCACTCTAGGCGGCTTACAATGTCGTAATACTATAATAAAATGATAATAATAAAAAGAGATTACATTAAATAATCAAAGATGGGGAGGAAAAATGAAAAATAAACCACAAAGAAAGGAAAAAAAAAACGATATTAACTGGAGGGGATGTTTGCTTATGCAATGGGATTACTGCATCCTCTTTTTTTCTTTGCATATTCAGGGTTATGAACACATGAAGCAATGTATGGGGGAATTAGCAGAAATCTATTCCATCTTTGATAATTTCCATTCTGCTGAAGGATAGTTTTAGGTCTAAGCCATGGTAAAACAGCACAAATTGAAGGAATCTTGAGCCCCCCACCCCCACAAAGAATTACTTGTCTCACTCATTTGTTGTCTTACTCATTTGCTGGATGCAAATGATCTCAAGAAGGTTTAAACCTTCCTCACCGAGGTGTTTCATCATGTCAATATAGCCTAAATTAACAGGAATAAGGATTTTAGGCAGCATTATTCACATCACATTATGTAATACTTACTCATGGAGTAAAGGGCGCACAACCGTGCTACCATGAGCATGAGCTTCATACATCAATGTGTAGAGATATGGGAGTAAAGTATATCTGGTATTGAGCACATTCCTTGCTATTTCTTTAAAATGATCATCAAAGGATACTGGATCTTGCCTCTACAGAAAACATATGAGTATAATTGTTAAACTTTCAGAAACCACCTCTAAGATTCATACATGGATTATTTAAATCTGCTAGTATATTATGCATTGGTAACAGCTTTTTATATAATATAAATAATTTATATAACCAAGAATGCATTCTCTTGTGTCCTCTTATTTGGATCCATTATGCTTTTTTGTTTTGCCTGATTTTATAAGTTACATAAGCTGTACATTATCTTCTTGCAACATTATGAGGTCAAAAAACTCTCTTTCCCAGCTTTATCTGTTCCCTATGCAATAGGGTTGTCATTTTGATGAGTTAACCCATCTTTTCCTCCTCGTACTTGAACAATACTACATTTTCGTGTACTGTCACTCCTATTGGAATATTCTGCTCCAAATTAGAAAGGAACAGCAAGTAGACTGCTGAGGGTCCTCTTGTCAGTGTCTTAAAGAGGAAAAGGGAAAGGATCCTACTGTAGTTTCTTATTAACATGAACTTTTTGAATTTTCACAACTTCCTTGATATTTGGGAATGGGAGGATCCTTGAATATTAAAAAAAAAATAGATGCTATGAGGAGGAAACTCCGAGCTCATTGATTCATTCCTCTAAGGCTTTTTAATTAAATGCACAAAAAACGTTAGGAATAAAAATAATAACCATGTACTATCAAGTCAATTCTGACTTTTAGTGACTCTTTTCAGGATTATCCAGGCAGAGGGTATTCAGAAGTGGTTTCTCATTCCCTTATTCTGCAGGCATTCTGGGACTCTGCAGCTTGCCCAAGGCCATATAGGCTGGCTTTTCTAGGACTCACAGAGGGGAACTGAACTACTGCTGAGCTATCTACCCAAATCATTCAGCTATATAACAACCATGCAACACTTAGTTAAGGTTTCTCTTTTTTTCTGAGCCTCTTCATATAGCATGCTAGGAAGCAACACTTAGTTAAGGTTTCTCTTTTTTTTCTGAGCCTCCTCATATGGCATGCTAGGAATACAGTGGTACCTCGCTAGACGATGATAATCCATTCCACTGAAATCGCTGTTTAGCGAAATCATTGTCTAGCGAAAAGCATTTCCCTATTGGAATGCATTGAAACCTGTTTAATGCATTCCAATGGGGAAGAATCGTTGTTGTCTAGCGAAGATCGGCCATAGGAAAGCTGCTTTGCGTACCACTGATCAGCTGTTTAAATAGCTGTATTGCGAAGCTTAGGTCCCGAATACACCCATTTTGCGAGCGCAGAGGGAGCTGTCCAAATTGTTGTCTAGCGAAAATTGGTTTGCGAAGCAGGGACCAAACATTGTCCAGCAAAATTCCCCCATAGGAATCACTGTTTTGCGAATCGCTATAGCAATCGCAAAAAGTCAATGTCTAGCAAAAAAACTGTCATGTGGGGTAACTGTCTAGTGAGGCACCACTGTAGCTGTTACTGCAAAATTTAACCAGTGCAAATCAAAGAAAGTTTTGTTTGAAGTGTGTTATGTTTTGCTTTTTTTGGAAAAACTTACTAAAATTCATAAATGACAAACTCATAGGCAAATACAAGAAAAAGCCAAAATGACCAATTTTCCTATCGCTAGGGAGAACCATCTTTGTATTCCTTCATTGAGTAGGGGGTTGGACTCAATGGCCTTATAGGCTCCTTCCAACTTCATTATTCTATGATTCAATTATATTTTTGGAGGGCGCTCCTTCCAACTTCATTATCCTATGATTCAATTATATTTTTGGAGGGTAGTGGATTAGAACTTTCCTGCCTCATCCTTCATTCTAAGCAACCTCACTTAATTTTTTTTTCTAAATATAGCTCCAGTCCTCAAGGACTATTTTTATCTCACTCCACCCTGAAAAATGGAAAGTATATGGGTGTGTGTGTGTGTGGGTGAGTATCGGAGATAGAGAGAGAGCGAGAGAGCGAGCGAGAGAGGGGGTGAGTACCATGCTTCAGTTCTATTCCAAAGAAGCAAGGACAGTGCTTGATCCAAACTGCTCTTCTGCAGAAGAAAAGCAAAACATGATATGGGGATGAAAGTCTTCAGTTCTATTCCAAAGAAGCAAGGACAACGCTTGATCCACAATGCTTTCTGTTCAGAACAGGAGCATTCACCTTTAAGACGGTTTCACAAAGAGCAGGAAAAAAGAGTCAGAAAGAAAGTAAGAAATTCCCCAGCCAGGTCTCCAGTATATGTGCCACATTTTGTTATATTAGTCTTCATTCCTGTAGGGCACTACTCAGGACTTTTAAAAGAGGGAGAAAAAGGAGAGCTAATGAGTGATGTAGGCAGTTCTTTCAATCTTTATTAAATGAAAGGAACAATGCCTTGGCAAATTGGGTAAGACTGGGAGCAACACAATAACCCTGAATCTGCATTTTAAAGCTTTTAAAAGACCTTCTGAAAGATGTACTGCTGTAAGATAAAGCCATGCCTTTTTGCTTTTTTTCTGAAAGAGGAAATTGTAATCCTGTACCATAAAAATAGATCTTACACGACTACTCCTGAAGTTTTAATAGCTATGGGAGATGGTTTTTTTATTTAATATATTTTCTGTCTTACTATTTTAACCTTTTCCCACCATGCAGTACATTTCTAATTGCACTCTGCCCTCTGTGCTGGTTTTTTTGGAGGGAGGAGGGGGGCAACCTACTTTTTAAATCTCCAAACACTACCTGGCTGATGTGAAATCGTGGGGATTTTGCATATTCACCTATTAAATTAGCTTCCACATTACATCTTGTTTCTCACATGTACTTACATATAACTAGTGAATCACTATGCCAAATATAATTCCTTAAATATGTGTGCTGTCCTAAACCAAATGTTAGTCCCAGCTCCAGTAAACCCAATGAGTCTGTGGGGATGTGAAAAATCAACACTTATGATAGTTTCATTCATTGAATAGGTCTAGGTGTACTCTAGTTAATATTAGAGTAAGGCCATTAAAATTAGCAACATGTTTCTGACAAAGAGGATGCAAAGCATTTTCACAGTGCAAATCACAGGACCATCGTTGGTGTATATTTTCATTTTATTAATCTGCTTCGTGGCAGTAGTATAAGGAGCTACTGAGGCAGACCACTGATCTATTTATAACCCAATAGTTTCAAATTTCCAAGAACTAACCACATCCAACCCTGTTTAGCTTCCAAAATCAGACCAAAATGGCAACATCTATGTGCATCGAATCTTATACCATTCTTGCATTGTCAGCAGCATCCAACCCCTTGTGGAGTGACGGGATGCATGGGGGCGGGGGGCGGGGAGGCAGTAAGATCCCTGCTCAAAGAAGTTACAGTTCATGAAAACTTAATAGAAGGAAGGGAAAGGGAGGGAGGAAGAGATGAATTGATAAGTAGATGACACAGGTTGACTATGAAGACATTCAGTTACATCTTCCTAGTCTCCTACAGTGGCATTGTATTTCATACTGAAAAAGACTGAGCTAAGGGGGAAGGTACGCATTTGGAAGATTATGTAGAAAAAATGCACGTCAAAGAAGTGAATGATCTAATTAATGGAGTGGGGATGCTTTCAAGTGGTGTACACAGATTCAGCAATGTGCACAATGAAAAAGAATGCACACAGTCTTTGAATTCTATATTTTTTATGTATCAGGACATAATATAAATCCTCTGGTCCGCTGCAGGTCTGAAAAGGACTCAGTGTTTTATGTATCAGGACATAATATAAATCCTCCGGTCTGCTGCAGGTCTGAAAAGGACTCAGTGGTTTTTCTTATGTCCTGATACGTAAAAACCATAGAATTCAAAGGGTATGTAGTTTCTTTTTCATATGGCTTTATGTGCATGTTTTCAAAAAGAAAATCACCAAAAATAAGAGATCTTACAACTTAAAAACACAGAACAAAGACTCAGCAGAACCAGCTGAAGATGGGAAAGGAAAGATAAACACAGATGCAGAATTTATAGATATGAGCATCTCTTTAAGTTGTTGGGGGCAATTTTTAGGGATCTACAGACTGCCACTCTCACTGGTCTTTGAGGGTCACCCGAGGTCCTTTCAACAACTACATATACAGTTCCATCATTTTTTATTTTTTAAAAAAAATTGAATGCAAAGGACAGAAACAGAAAAATAGTCATAACATGAATGGCATCCTGAGTGAGTTTGGCAGCAGAGATATAGTGAAAAGTGTAAAAATTGAGATGTATTTAGGGAAGTCCAAGAAAAGAAGACAGCAACAATCAAGGTAGGAGATGGGATGGGGGGGTCTGAGTATTATCAGATACACACAAGGAAAATAAAGTTGAACAACTCATAATTCAATTTACCTTAGATCCTAAGCCATTGTGATTCCTAGAATACGGGTAAAAGGCACCCAGCTGTGTCCAGCGAGCACACATTTGGTAGGTTGTTTCTTCATTGAAGCCACAGATATCTGCACCAGTCTGAGCATAAGAAAAATAACAAATTAATGCTGCATTTTATGTCAGTTATAAAGGTACTTTTACAATTGTCAGGTGATGGATCAGACTTACATAGGACATTCCGAAGAGGCTAAATTCCATCATGCCTGCAAGGAGAACAACACAACATTATCAATTCACAGTAACAGCCATTTGTGGAACACCTGCTTTGTGGCTCCCCAAACTGACATACATCCAAGCTGTTAAGCTGTCGCTTGGATCCAAATCTGGAGGACTGGCATAGATCAGGGACAGAGCATGTGTTTTACATGGAAAAGGCCAACATCTCTGCTTAAGATTGTTAAAGGTACTTTAGGTCTAAAGAAATTACCCTTGCCAGTTTGAATTGATTGTGATTGGGGAACAGTTATTTTGAAATCTGCAAGGACACAATGATTGTGTAGTACATTTTTCTATGGAGAATAGGGATGTAATTTAGCACAGTTTCAGATATCTGATGGTCCAGTCACCAGCCAGTACTCTGCCCCTATCCTGAATGCTAGCAGGGTACGGGAGCCCACTTGATGTGGACTGCTATGGGTGTCCCTCTGACCACTAGGAATAAGCTGACATGACATATCCCAATTAACTAGTAGCCTCTACCCACATGGAATGGATATACATACCCTGCTTCTCTTCCCCCATGAACCCCACTGGATCCAGCCCATTGCTCACAATGCTATCATGATATGATAATGAAAGAATATGTAGGGAAGACATCAACAAATCACATACATTGCTATCATGGGGCGAAAGCTTCATGAAGCAAGTCATTGTGCCCACAGATAAAATTCCAACTCAGCCCCAGTAATCAGTGACAAAAAGAAATCAATAGCAATTTGTAAGCTTAAAGAGAGAAAGATGTGTTACGGAAGTTCCCTCTGGCACTGAATTGTGATTTCATGGTGGGTCTACATTTAAAAAAAGATAGACAGACAAGAGAGCAAACATCCATCATGGAAGCTGGACTTCTCCCACTCCAACCAGCTACTCATGTCTTCCCCAACCTTTCTGCACCCCAAGAGGGTGAAAAAAAACAAAACCCAGGCAAATTGGGATCTTTTTCTATTGTCAGAAGCTATATTCCTTATGCTTTATTAGTGCTGTAATGACAATGGAAGTTAATTCATAAGTAACTAATCCCAGGGCAAGACTAAGTGCTGCTTACATGGATTTTCTCTGTTAACAGTTGTGTCATTAATAGTTGTACTGAACTGCTGATATTTCTAGGTTAGTCTTTTAATGGTCATTAGCTTTTATTCATGTAGTCCATGGCAGAACGGCTCATCAAAGCTCATGAGCAACAATATTATACTTCAATGTTATAAAAAACTCTTCCTTAAAGCTCAAGCAGCAGAACTGACATTAGGTCTCATAAAACATACAAAGCATGTTAAGTGTCCAGTGTTCACTTACCAATTATAGATTTGTAAAGCTGATCCCATCTTGAGTAGTTGTCACCCAACCAGTGCCCTGCCCATCTGCCACTTGAAGGGTAAGTGGAACGAGAAATGACGATACCACGTTCTCCGGTGACACTGTGTAGTGCGCTAATATTGGAAGTAAAATCAGATATCAATTGAGTCAGGAAAATAATAATTCATATTCAGAAGAACAAAAGCATACAACTAATAGTTATTACATTAAAAGGGGTCCATTCAAATCCCCTGCTTTGGGGATTGGGTGGTCCCTACTTCTGGTCACTACATGAGGAACATTTTCAGATGTTTGTCTCCAAGATACTGTAAACAATAATATCCATTGCTGACAGTCTACAGTATTGAAATCTGTTCCTTAAGAAGGAAAGGAATACCTTAATTTATAGATATCAGGTGTTTAGTAGGGAAATTGGATCGTTGCCCGATTCGTCCACTAAGTCCTAACATTCCTTCTATCTCATGTTTTTGTTGGAAAGCTTTCTGTCAGATATCCAGACAAGATTAAGGATATAAAAATGGCAACTAAATTTTTTCATTCTTATAGGCTTAGGCTGTCTTAAGAAGACAAGACACCTCAACAAGAAAATTTCAAGGTGTGCTATTTTTTCTTCTCAGGATCTCCATAATTAGCAGTGCTACAATTGCTAGTGTCAGAGGCAGTGAATGAGGTAAAAAATGATCCAGAATACAGGCAGTGTTTAATCAGAAGTACAGTGTTATATGCTTTTTCCTGAACATTTCAGCCATTTCTATGTGCTGCAACAAATCTTGTTGGTCATATTTTCTGCATTTTTTTAACTGCAGGGGATTTCACTGAATACCTTATTTTGCATTTTATATTCCATAATCAGAGAACAGATCGGCTGAATTGGTGTAAAACATATTGGAGGAAGACGGACAAAAAACAGCAGTAGAAGTAGTTTTAGAAAAAGCAGCCATGTTAGTCTGTCCGAAGAAATGGGTTTACCCATGAAAGGTCGTATTAAAATATAGCAGTTAGTCTTTAAGGTGACACAATGTTTTTGTCTTTATTTTTCTAAGATTGTGTTTTTATTCTATTTTGTCAGCACCCTGGACAGCAAGAAACTTGGCAGTGACAATAGCTTCAAATTTAGGGATTGGATGGTTTCCTAGCTTTCCAAGTTTTTTTGAGCTCTTCTCTGACGGCTGTCCCAAGGGCTACACAATTCCCTGGAAACTGAAATATCCATTTTGAGGGAGCTTTCATAGGTGAACTATTGACAGTCTCGAAGATTTGGAAGGATGAAAAAGAGGGAAAAAATGGTCAGGGTTTCTTGAAAGCTGGCTGAAAAAAAAAAGGTTTCATTTCACAGTAACAAAAGTGAAATGAAACCAAGTAAGATTGGCTCGGCTCAGCTCAAAATTATACTTTGTAAGTGGGAAATTGTTCTTTAATAGATTGCAATGTTTCCAATAAAACTTCAGCATATTTTCAAAGTAGTAGTGAATTTAGTAATTTCCTCTCTGCAGAAGCATCTTTTTTGAAGAACAGAGATATTTGACTGGATTTTGTTTCAGCCGTCATCTTCAATATCCAAAATATCATTATACGGAGTGCTGAATTATTGCCTACTGAAGGCATTCAAATCATATTTGATCGGCCTAACAATTGAAGAATCGGAAATTCTTTTTTTGTCACATCAGCAGCTTTGTGAGTATCTTGACTGTTGGTGAAACACTGGAAGGCTGCCAGATATAAATTCTTCTCAAGTAAAAAGAGATCCTGGCCTTTCCCCTTCTCCCTTTTATGCTAATATTAAACTCAATGAGGAGGGGGCTGGGTTCTTTGGTTGCTTATTGAAGTAGACAGAAAATAAGCTATTTTCATTAGATCGTATTAAGCAGGTGGATTCAAAGCATTTCAGTCCTCTTAAATTCTGTGAAATTTTCTGCCTTTTTTCTTCCTGTCCTCCCTGCTTCAAATTTACCTGTGTTCAGGATATTCTGAACTTCTTTTTGCAAAATCATGCACATAATCCCAGACCATTTCCCCCCTAGAATTTCAGTCCTCTTAAATTCTGTGAAATTTTCTGCCTATTTTCTTCCTGCCCACCCTGCTTCGAATTTGCCTGTGTTCAGGATATTATGAACTTCTTTTAGCAAAATAATGCACATAATCACAGACCTTCCCCACCCCACCCCCATAACTGTTTACATTTACATTCTGTGAAATTTTCTGCCTTTTTTCTTCCTGTCCTCCCTGCTTCAAATTTACCTGTGTTCAGGATATTCTGAACTTCTTTTTGCAAAATCATGCACATAATCCCAGACCATTTCCCCCCTAGAATTGTTTGTTTGTTTGTTTGTTTACATTTTTATCTCACCCAACTAGTAGCTAGGCTACTACTCTGGGCGGCTAACAAAAGGACATGACGTGCAGTCTTGAAAAATAATGATAATGAAAAAGATAAGAAAACAACAATAATGATTAATAGCAGGCTGGTGGCAGAAGGGATCTATGAGGTAACTTAAATGGGGACAAACTATTGAAAGGCTTGAGAAAACAAGCAAGACTTTAATCCCTGCAGAAGAATGTTGCTTTTTTTTAAAAAAATTAACTCTTTACAGAGAATAATACATCTGTGAATGAATGTACAAAGTAAGAGAAGTTGGGCTGGCCCACTCTTTGCTGTCCTTCCACAGGAAGGTAAAGACATTTTCCTCAAGCAGGCTTTCCTTCAGTGAGTGGCTACCTAACAGATCGGCTGCAGTTTGTCTTTTCTTTCGTTGTTTTGCCTGCTTTTTCCCCTTCCAGTTTTTATATTGTTCATTTTCAATATTGTAATATTCAAGAATAGGCAGTGGAAGATAGAAGGTTCTGGCGTGCTCTGGTCCATGGGGGTCACGAATAGTCGGACACAACTAAACAACAAATATTCAAAAATGATGATGACAACAACGAGCTCTAGGAGCTGAGAGGAGCCCAGGAAATCTTAGTGGGAAACCTCAGTATAACAAAATGTCAAAAATCAAAAGAGAAGTTCCATCACATCCCTAAAACTGGATGTTACTGAATAAATTCATAAAGCCTTAGTCACTTTCTTTACGTAACATGTATCACCTTGTCTCTTCTTGACATTTACTTTTTTGAAGTGAATTATTAAAGTTATTAAGTTAAGAATGAATACATAAAGCACTTAATTTAAAACAGTCTTTTTGCATAACTAACATAGAATCCTAGTCAAACAATACATGCTTTTTAATTAAAGTAGTCCATCACATGCTACACGTAAAACAAAAATGCTATCTTCTTTAATTTCTTATGTTAAATGTGTTATCAAAATGATGCAAACTGCTCCATGTTATCAGTGAATGGCAGAGCACTCCTTTGGTATATTAGCTGAGACTCCTTACATCTTCATTATGGAGGACTATCTCAATCTGGATCTTGAAGCTCAGTGATTTAGGTATCTGGCATAGAGTCAGAGGCTGGGAGTGTGATTTCCCCACTGTGCTTCCCTGACAGTGGCTGGACTTGATGATCTATAGGGTCCCTCCTAGCTCTGCAGTTCTAAGACTATTATTATTCAAAAATACCAGGCTTCTTCTTGTTGTTGTTAAAATACCAGATACCAGATACAGTTAACTGAAATTATAAAACATTGACTAGTATTTTATAACAGATACAAGTTTTAACCTAAATCCCAAGGCTACTCCTAATATTGTCATTTTTGTAGCTCTGATGGTGTTATTTCTAAGATTTGCAACTGCTTATAATACTGTGTGAAATTTCTTGATATTGTTCCCAAAATTGCGATGACTACGGGGACCACTGAAGTATGTTTCATCTACAAGCGAGATGTTTTGTTTGCTGTTTTTTTTCTCAACTCATAGGGCTACTGTGATTTGGAAAGGACCGAAGGTAGATCTCATGAACACAAATGTTGCAATAATTCAACATAGGCATGGCTAAAACTGGGAGCATTATGAAAGAAAGTGAAGGCTTTATTTTTGCTGCACGAGAACAAGCACTCCAAACCAGTGAAAGGAATTACTGCTAACAGAAAATGCGAACTGTCAAGAAAAATATGAAACTGTGTCACACCTCATCAGTGAATGTCCAAAGATTGCACAAATGGATCACAAAATTAGATATGATAGGGTGGCAAAATTAGTGCACTGGTTATTATGCACAAAAATATAACTTATCAGCCTCCAAAAATCCAGGAGAACATCAGGTAGGGAATGTGTCAGAAAATGAGGAAGTCAATATCTTGTGGGCTTTCCAGATTCAAACTGATAGACACCTTGAATATAACACACCAGACATAGTAGTAATAGAAGAACGAAATATCATTGCCATTGCAATTCCAGAGGTTGTTAGAGCTGAAGATAAAGAAATGGAAAAACTAACAAATTACAGAGACGTGTCAGTATGAAGTATCAAGAGTCGTAGGTTTTACTATAATCAATAAAACACTGGGACATGTGTTGTATGTAATTAAATATATTATTAAATTAAATTACCAATCTAGCCATTTCGTTTCACAAAGTAGGTCAACATTTAAGCTTACACAAGATAAATTTGTATAGATATCACCATTTACATGTTTGTACAAATAACTTCTCTCTAGAAGAAAAAAAATTAAGAAACGAAGGTTCTCATACTTTGGGCAAGTCATAAGAAGACAAGTCTCACTGGAAAAGACAATACAATCATTTTCTTCAGAGAAAATTTGAAGGCATCAGGAAAAGAGAAAGACCATACTGTATTTGAGAAGGATTGATTCAATAAAGAAAGCCATAGCCTTGAGCCTGCAAGAGCTAAGCAAGCCTGTTAAACATAAGGCACATTGGAGGTCACTTATTCACAAAGTCATCATACGTCACAATAGACTTGATGGCAAATAGAAGCAGCAGCAGCAACACAACTGCTCTCAACTAGATCGATGATTTTTGTGGTCCAATATACTTGCTTAGAATTAAGGGAATGAAGATTAATTCAACCAGAAAGCTTGATGTTTCCCTGGTACACAGTTTCTACAGATACACTATGTTTAGTTATCCATGCTACTGCATTTACTAGCATGAGACAAAGGTCTTTTGCGGAATTCCCATTGTAATGTAATAGTGGGTACCATGAGACGAAAGTCACAAGGAAGACCAAAGCTTGCCTCTCATCTTATTTGTCTGATAAATTCATTCATTTATCGGCCAACCAAGAAGATCCTCTGAAAAAGGATCCATGAAGGATGTTAACTGTTCAGCCCTATGTCTGAACTGTTTGATGGTAGGTCCCATCAAATTATATGGTATGTACCTAAAACAAAGTCATTATAGTGGCCTTAATTTACTCCTTTATTAAATATTAACTTAGAGGCTGCCATGCAATTCTCTCTACAATTATTAATAAACTCCATCATTTTTCTTTCTCATTTATTATTTCAAATTCCGTATTGGAAGGCGGTTCTCAAGTCAAAAAGTCTGTAGGTCAAGTCTCCATTGACCTACAGTGCATTGAAAACCGATTAATCCCGTAACAGGCCGTTTTTGTTCCATTTTGTTTTTGTTTTTTTTCTGGTCTGTAAGTCAATTCTCAGGCTGCAAGTCAAACCTAAATTTTGCGGCCAGAGAAGTATGTAACTCAAAAAGTCTGTAAGTCAAGCCGTCTGTAAGTCAAGGGTCCACTGTATACACAATTAACTATATACAGATTACTTCTGCTAAATAAATATCTGAATTATTAAAGTATAAAACAAGTTTCAAAGGAAACTGAAATGCTAGAAAATAAAACTACTACTTACTCATAGGTGGGCTTTGTAAGTCAAGGGTCCACTGTATACACAATTAACTATATACAGATTACTTCTGCTAAATAAATATCTGAATTATTAAAGTATAAAACAAGTTTCAAAGGAAATTGAAATGCTAGAAAATAAAACTACTACTTACTCATAGGTGGGCTTAGTTTGTGACCAACCATAGAGGTTGTGGACATCATAGTGCCGAAGTGGGCTACCATCAGGCAAATGCTGTTGACTTTGCATGCACAAGGTTTTGCTACTCAGTCCAATATCATTTCCCAAAATGGCTAAGAAAAGTACAAGTCAAAATAAGGGAGGTTGAACCAATTTTAACAATCTTTATGATTGACATAATATAAAAATAATGTACGTATACATTTTCTCTCCCCCCCTCTCTCTCTCGGAAAATAAGCAAGCATTATAAGGCTTTCCCATTTACAGGGCAGCAAAAAGATCATCTCATGGTTGACTCAAGCTTCAATTATTTCAAGATCAGCAAACTGAGTACCCAGCTCGCTAGGTAGGATGGGGGGCAATGTGTAGCTTGAAAAATTAAAATTGCAAACTGCCCAGAGAGTGGTTTGAGTGCCATGGAGCAAAACACTTTGCTACTTTTTCTTTTTTTTAAAAAAATCACCAACAGCTTTTGCAGAAAAAAACCAGTAGGTTTTACATAAAACAAAAGGTTTTCCACACAAAATACAAGTTTTCTGCAGAAAAAAATTAGTCTGTTTGCACAAATCCCACGTCAGTGAATTTTTGTCAAAAAGAAAAGGAATAGTGAAAATTTAAACATGCACATATGCTTTTGAAGTTTCATCCAGGGTGGGAAAAATCTTTTACATTTTTTTCCATTTATCTTCAAAAATAAAACAAGAAAATAGTTACTTTCCTTCAGCTAAAAAAAATTAGCTTTTTTTAAAAAAAAATCAATGCAGGGTTTCTCATTCCTGATCCATTTAAAAGAGTTCTAGGAGACCTAAAAAAGTATAAATGATAGATACACTTACCTGGCAAGTATGGAGGGCGATTAAGTTCTGAGTCTCCACAGCCAGTAATTGCACCATTGACAAAATTTGCTGGTTCGTTCATATCCTTGCATTATAGACAAAGGAATAACCATAAGTAATTCAATATCTACTTTTAAAATAAATCTTGAAAATTCCACTAATACAAGAATATGGCATAAGTGGGTATTTTGACTTACTTTACATCAAATTCAAAAGATCTCTCTGTTCTGAAAGTATGCTAAATCATAGAATCATAGAAAAATGAAGTTGGAAGGGGCCTACAAGGCCATCAAGTCCAGCGCCCTTCTGCAGGAGTACAATCAAAGCATATCTGCCAGGTGATTATTTAAGTTTTTCTTGAATGTTTCCAGTGTTGGAGCACTCACCGACTCCTCAGGTAAATGAAACATCCCTTAAGGATAGACAGGGGAGCGCAACACAAACATTGGGATAAGCAGCCCCTCCATACAGGTCCATAAGTCAGCCCTTAACTTGAAGTATATAACATTTATTTTAGATGGCAATACATAGAAAGCCACAATTTGTAACTTTCTCTTTAGTTCAAATCATATTCACAGTTTTGCTTATAGAATACAAACTTCTCCATTTTAAATTTGTATAAATCTGCCAAACAGGGCAATATCATAGTTCAGCTAGCCTATGAATGAGGAGTTGTCTGTTACTAAAAGTGAAAAATATATTTAGGTTTGATACAAAAGTTCTGCATGTATTTCGACTTTTCCAATTTCCCCCTTTCTCTCCCCAACTCCAACCACCTCTCAAAAACCATTGAGTTTCTCCCCCTCAATAGTTTTGAAAAGACGGATTTTTTTAAAGAGGCTTATTTTGATGCCAAAGGTAAATCAAAATATAATTAAAAGACACAGATACATACAATCCAAAGTCCATCAAATTTAATGCTTTTTGCTGGAGTAACAGGGTTTGTGTGATACTCCTGAATTTCTCTCTTCCACCACTCAGCTGTAGAATTACGGAAGAAATCAGGGAAGGCAGCCCAAGCGCTGTATTTCTATAATAATAGATAATTTAAGGTGGAAAAATTAATTTAATGAATGTTTACATTTATTGTAAAATATCTGACTTATTTTGAGAACAAAAGCCACACATGGAGAATAAAGAAACTTTCTAAAGTTCTCTCAGTGAGTTTTTGTGGTTGCTGTTGCTTTATTTTGTCTGGTAACAAGACACATCTCCATCATGAATAGTAGCCACTGATGCTCCATGAATGTATTGAAGTCCTTTCTTAAAGCCATCGAAGCTGATACCCTTAAATATGAAATTCCACAAGCCAACTACACCAGAGCACAGAGTGCTGTCCTCGGAAGATGCCGGCCACAGAGACTGGCAAAACGTTAGGAAGAACAACCTTCAGAACACGTCCAAAGAGTCCGAAAAACCCACAACAACCATTAGATACCGGCCATGAAAGCCTTCGTGAATATGTTGTTTACGCAAACTTGATTTACCTCCACTTTTTCATCCCATGCCATGAAAGCCTTCGCGAATACATTGTTTGTATGCAAACTTGATTTACCTCTACTTTTTCATCCCAGCCTGCTGAAGGATCCACCACGACACCAGGTAGATATGGCCACACCTAAAAGAATTATTGAAAATTGTTAATTTTAGTAAAAATGAAATTATCCGTTGATTGCAGATTTCACCACTGGCACGCCATGCCCACAGTTTCATGCCTGATCTCCTGTGAAATTTTATGTATGATCACCATACATTTAGGCATTTTTTAAATTTTAACAGATACCAATTCTGGTATTATCGTGCATAAACTATTACCTTTCCCCACACAATAGAACTGCCATTGGGCCATTTGATGAAGACATCATCCTGAACACCTCGTGTGAATGGCGGATAGTTAGTTTCATTTCCTGAAATGGCTGGATCCTGAAATGAAGAACCAGAACTTTTTACACTTAAACACATTATGGATCTTAGCTGGGCAACATATGCTAGCTAACAGGATTCCATTATGATTGAGTTACAGGATATAATGTAAGGACTGTGACATAGGAGGAAAAATTATAAATAATTCTGTGTGACAAAGATGGGACAATTTCATTGTTTTTGGACTACAAGTCCAGAATACCTCAGGTAGTAGGGCCATGCTGGCTGGGTTATTCTGGGAGAGTCTAAAATGGTGAATATTTTGAGCCCATACAACACAGAGCAAGAGCTCACAAATGAGTGGAACCAGAGAAAAGACCAGGTTCTTAATATCAACCTCTCACAGCTTCTTGCAACTAATGAGAAACGGAAGGGGTAGGGAATCCTCTTTTGTCCTCATGGCAACACTTTTACTTTACTTTACTTTACTTTACTTTACTTTACTTTACTTTACTTTACTTACTTACTTACTTACTTACTTACTTACTTACTTACTTACTTTTGCAGAAAGTTATTACTTTTGTGATAATTTTTTTCTGGGACACATGCCAAGCCACAGAAGATTGTTGAGAGATGCCACTCGACTGAATGGCATCTCTCCCACTCAAGATTAACTGACAACAGGATTCACTATTGCACAATTTTCTGTGCAGAATGCACAGGAAAAAAATGAATAATAAAAAAGGGAAGGTGAGACCAGCATCTTATTTTTATGGGAAGCTAGGAAATCTCTCTGATGAAAAGCAATGTCTCAGTGAGAAGTCTTGACAGAGTGAGACTTGGAAAATGGGTGAGCAAAGATTTTGCAAATATTTATTGCATCCTTGCTTCAAATAAATTTGAATGTAGACTCTGTCCTTCAGAGCTTTAATACACAGCACTAGAACTCTCATAGCATCCTCACTGCTGAATGCAAGGGAAGCATGACGAAGAGAAAGATTTGTGAGATCTGTTGAGATGTCATTTGGTCTAATAAGGGGGAAAATGTTCATATACTGGAGGAAGGATCCTGATCTTTGCAGCACTCTTCCCTTTTCTTCCCATACTGGGATTTTTCTAACTAGAACAATTTCTTATCTCTTCACTTTTGCAGAAAGTTATTACTTTTGTGATAATTTTTTTCTGGGACACATGCCAAGCCACAGAAGATTGTTGAGAGATGCCACTCGACTGAATGGCATCTCTCCCACTCAAGATTAACTGACAACAGGATTCACTATTGCACAATTTTCTGTGCAGAATGCACAGGAAAAAAATGAATAATAAAAAAGGGAAGGTGAGACCAGCATCTTATTTTTATGGGAAGCTAGGAAATCTCTCTGATGAAAAGCAATGTCTCAGTGAGAAATCTTGACACAGTGAGACTTGGAAAATGGGTGAGCAAAGATTTTGCAAATATTTATTGCATCCTTGCTTCAAATAAATTTGAATGTAGACTCTGTCCTTCAGAGCTTTAATACACAGCACTAGAACTCTCATAGCATCCTCACTGTTGAATGCATGACGAAAAGGAAGATTTGTGAGATCTGTTGAGACGTCATCTGTTGTTGTTGTTGTTGTTGCTGTTGCTGTTGCTGTTATGTGCTGTAAAGTCAGAACTGACTTACAACAACCCTAATGGGTTTCAAGGTGAGATATGGTTTTACCATTTCCACTCCTCCAATGAGTTTCCATGGCGGAGTGGGGATTTTAACCCTGGTCTTCAGAATCCTAATTTGTCACTCTATCCACTGGGTACCTTCTCTCTTCTTCTACTGGGTAAATATAGACTATGGTGGCCATTCTGCCCTCCATAAAGGATGCATTATTTGACCAGTATAAATGAAAGTCACTGGCAAGAACCTTGTTGAAAAAGAGACACAACGGTAGTTGCAAAAGCAATTTGTGCTTTCTAGCAGGCTATCTGTCATGTGACAGTTGTACAGTCATTGCAAAATTAGTTGCACAAAACACATCTCAGTAAAGGGTGCATGCCCCTTACACGATTACTGTCTTATGCTTCTTCTTCTTCTTTTTGGTAATGCCATTAAATAGGGTGTTGGTAAGTGCATTAAACAGAAAGGCTGTTGGGTAAACAAAACAGGTATACTAACCAGGATGATGACAAATCTCATGCCATCTGCTTTTAGTCTGTTAACCACAGTTGGAAGGTTAGCAAATTTGGAACTGAGTGTGAAATCTAACTGCCGTTCCATGTAGTCAATATCAGCATATTGTACATCCTATAGGGAAAAAAAGTGAAGACTGTAAACGTCTATGTGTTGCATAATATAAGGGCAATAATAACTGTTTCTCTGTAAAAAAAATCATTGAAAAGTATACATGCAAATAAGGAACCACAGTAGTACTTTTCAAGGACATCTCTTAAGTTCCTTTAAAAAAAAAACCAAATATAGTGTTGCCTCCATGCTTTATATTTACTAACACTTTGGGGCATTTCCCTCTGTATGAGTGTTTAAAACTTACATATGTTTAAAAACCATAGTCTTTTTTTCCTCCTTTGAATTTCCTTATGAAAACATTTCCCCTTTTCTGTGACTTTCCCATTCTGAAATCCATGTTGTCTTTTCTACTCAGGTTTTTACTTATCCATGGGGAATTGAAATGCTTTCATTGCCCTATTGGGGCTAAGAATAGAAGAAGAGATCTCTTGGATCAGAAGTAAGCCATAATTCCATTTGCGGAGTGGCCAACCGGTTTCTTATAGGAAGCCCATAATTAAGACATAGAGATAAGATAATTCCCTATGTTGCTCACTCATAGACTTGAATCAGCATTTAATGCAGCATGGCCTTTTGTCCTATTAGCTCCATTTCCAAGCATGCCTAGGAACAATATTTGTATACATTGTTTTTCAGCCCAACAGGTCCCCAAAAGGTGATTTACACCATCTTCTCCAATGAGTGCCTTCAGATAAAGACCAAAGTATCCCAATTTCCTCTCTCTGTCAGCCACAAAGCTTCCTTGATATCCTCTTCGATCAATCACAGCTTTTTCTCACTCATATGGATACAGTAAAGGTAAAATGTGGGTGAGGAACCTTCTATGTGACCTTGAACTGCTTTGAATAAGGACAGGCTACAAGCATAATAGATATAATCATATCTGCAGATAACTTACATAAGGGATATTAGCTGCCTTCATTTGGTCATACAGATCGGAAATTTCTGTATCATTTTCATATCCATAGCGGCATAACTGGAATCCCAAACCCCAATATGGAGGCATGACTGGACGTCCAATGAGCTAATAATGATAAAATGAAATAAATGATATCTGGTTTACATTATGCTGACAAGAGGGCAGAATAATATTATTTTAATACAGTTGTTTCATTAATAATTGTGTCAGCCTTACTGCAGTGTACTCCTGAACCACTTGCTCAGGAGTTGGGCCCAAAACCACATAAAAGTCCAAAATTCCTCCAAGAGTACGGTAAGTCAAAGCTGGAGTTGGCTGAAATTTCACATCTGAAAAGGATAAAATAAGGCATGAAATTTTAACATGAAGGAATGGTAAGTCACACCTTTCTTGGCCTTGGAAGGTTTGAATTCCCAACTAAAGAAACATTTAGACAGAATTAAAATGTAAAATTCCTTCCTTGACTCAACAGAAGGATGGATAACCTCACACATCCTGATGGTAGGGGAGTCTGTTACATAAGAAGCTGCAAAAAATAACCACAAGCTACCCTTGATTTAGCTAATATTGATTCCTGAGTATTCATATGAGAGAAGACTAGCTAAATGGGAATATGTGGCACCACCATTTTTGTGCTGAGTTCCCATGAAAAAAACTATGGGCTGCCTTAGTATTCTTATTTCCATACAGGTACATGAGGAAGACACTGATGCAATAAAAACTACTATCTCATGTTTCCATACTGGCATCAGAAACAATAGAACGGGCTTTGATAAATTGTACATGGTTTATAAGCCACACATTTGTCAACCTGCCCTCGAGAACCACCATTAAGAAATGCAAAGATACATAAAAGATAATAAAGAGTAACTAAAATAAAGAGTAACTGACCCATTCCATTACTGTTTAGTAAGAGAACTCCATGAGCATTGCCATCATTTTCCAGGCCCATGTAAAAGGGGTGAACTCCATACATATTGAATTTGTACTGTTAAATGAGAACAAGAGCAAAATCATTGGTTATTAAACTGATTTCCTCCCTGTCTTAACACATTGTAAAGGTAAAGGTTCCCCTTGACATTTAGTCCAGTCATGTCCTATTCTAGGGCGCGGTGCTCATCCCCGTTTCCAAGCCATAAGGCCAGTGTTTGTCTGAAGACAGTTTCCGTGGTCACATGGCCAGTGTGACCGGACACGGAACATTGTTTGCCTTCCCACTGCGGTGGTACCTATTTATCTACTCGCAATTACATGCTTTCAAACTGCTGGGTTGGTAGGAGCTGGGACAAGCAATGGGAGCTCACTCCATTGCATGGATTCGATCTTACAACTGCTGGTCTTCTGACCCTGCAGCACAGAGGCTTCTGCAGTTTAACCTGCAGTGCCACCACATATACATATGTACTCCTGCATCACAACATGCAAAGTTAACATGTATTTTCTTTTTTTCTTTAAATTTTAAAATCATGTCCCTCTAGAAGGTTGGTGAGGATTTTTTTTTTTGTAATTTTAACACAATGTTTCCTCAATAACACATATTTCCCTCTTCTGAGGAAACAGGCTGCTGCTACTATGACTGCTTCTTCTACCACTACTAAGACTACTGATATTGATATTAGTATATGACCTTTGTTTCAGTGTTGTTCTACTGCAGAAAGGCAACATTACATAATAAATAGAACAAGGAACAAATATGCCTGTCCCCGAGAATTATAATTACTGAGAAAATACACATTTCTAGATGTGGAAAAAGCACTGGACCTAACATCCTCAGGTATATCTATTATTTATACCATAATTCAGATTTTTACACTCTAAGAAGTAACTTAGATTCATGGACATCTTAGTCAATATTTACCAGTGTCAGATCCAATGAAGGAAAACTCCAATTTCAAATCTCCACTGCCTTGTGGCTATATCCACTCATGGAAAAGGCTTCAGGAGCTAACCTTGAGGCAAAATCCGGAGCTGGAGTCCCGAAGGCAGCATGTGCCGTTCTGCCAACTCCTGCGACATTGCTGGAACCAGTTGTATTGGCTCTTGCCTTTCCATTGGACCATTTCAGCAATGTGGAGAGGGGGGATCTGCTGCTTGGGTAACAGCCTATCCTCCATATTACCTTACCCGGGCTTCATGCTCTGGAGAGGACACTCCTCGATTCAGAGCATGTTGCCATAGTCTCTTGAGACTGAAGGATGCCTATGCAGATCCAATGGTACATCCAACATGATCAGATCTGAACTAAACTGGTTACATATAGTTGGTGTTGTAATGGGACTTAAAAGTCATAATCAAGTTTTCCAATAAATTTCAGTAAGACCTACATGCAATTATTTGATTCTGAGTTGACATAATGAAGATAGTAATAAGTGGGGATCCCAACAAGCAACCTATACTCACTCCAGGAGATTGATCCCTGGCAAACATTGGCCAAGTGACCCAGTCCATTTCATGCTGGTACTGTTGATGCTCCGTTTCACCAAACCCATACACATACTGTGAGGGTAAGCGAGTGGAAATCTGGATGAACATGTCACTGAAGGTGAAGCCAGGCAATTGGGAATCCCAACTGCAATGAAAAAAAAGTAGCTAATTATCACACTTAGAAAAAATGAGAATAATAGCACAGAGAGGATATTAAGTGTTGTTTGGCAGACAAAAGTGGGCAGAGATTGATTTTTTAAAAAGTTATGTGACTATCAAGAACACATGTGTCAAACTCAAGGCCCGAGGAATGAATTTGACCCAACGGGCCATTTCATGTGGCCCTCACAGTGCTGCTTGCTACTGTGCAGTATACAATATGCACGCGCTCACTCAGTCACCCATAATGCTCTGCAAGGATGCTGGGAATATGCTTAGCGGGGCTTCTAATCCCAGCATTACAACCAGCAAAAGAATCAGAAAGTGCAGCTACTTGGGTGGCGTATAGCACCTTGGAAAATGTAGTCCTCACTATTTAATATGATAAATAGTAGATACATTTATATATAGTCTTACAGATACAACCGGCCCTTTGAGGACAACCATAATGCTGATGTGGCCCAATATGCAATTTATTTGACATCTCTTATCTAGAATGTGCATTATAACTTCAGTCCTACAGGTAGCTGTTAGCAGCTATAATAGAGCAATGATCTCCTTATTCAGCAAGGATTATGGAACTGCTACAAGTTCAAATGTGGTGTTAAGTTATGCTACCATGTACCATATTAGATGGTAAAGCTGCACTGACATATATTTGCAGTTTCAAAAGGCATGGCAAGATGATATTGAGCTTCCTTCCTATTATTCTCCTGTCCCCCATCATTATATTCTTGCTTTGTATAGTGAGAGTGTGTTAGACATAGGCATGGCCACCTGTAGTCCTATGCTGGAAAACACTGTGGATCAACACATAACAATGGGCCCGGGCTATAGGAAACCAGATTTCAGGTTGAATGTCAGGAAAAAAAAGTCTTAACTGTAGAGAAGTACACAAACTTCATTGCTCCAATGCTGGAGGCATTCAAGAAAAAATTGGACAACCATCTATCATATCTGCTTTGATTTGGATTCCTGCATTGAGCAGGGGGTTGAACATAATGGCTTTACAGACCCCTTCCAATTCAGTTAGTCTAACTCTAAAAACAGTTGCAGTATCATAAATCACAAGGATATTGTGCAGACTTTCAGTGGCACTGTAACTTGTTGTGTTACAATCAAGCAAAAGAGATGCATAGTAAATACTGTAGTAACATTCCATAGCTCCAGCAGTGAAATCAGAAACATGCTGTAGTCTTTGGGTTATACAACTACACACTTTGATTTCATCTCCTAACATTCTAGCAACTAGAGAAACAATCACACACACATGCACAGTCACATATGTGCACATACACTCCCCCCCCCATGAAAACAAACATTAGGATTCAAGTAATGTGGCTTATTTGGAACATTGAGAATAGGAAGAAAAGTTGAACATCAGGTTAAGAAGAATTTATGTGTGAACTTTTTTTTTAGATGCAGCTTTATTCAATGGTGGGCTTAGGTATAGGGGAAATACCTGTTTATTTCTCTTTTCCGCACAACCTTATCCAGTTATCACTTCTAGATCCAATACAGGAAATTATACATAACTAGGCCTCAAAATGTTTACAGATTTTTATGGCATTCTCTCTTTTTTAAAAAGTTCTTCTAAAACATGGATCTAAGGGAAATGGCCCACAAAATGTGCATATTAATGAAATTAACTTCATTGTATTAGAGGAAAAACCAACAAACCAGATATTGAGAAAATATGCATATTGGGAGAAGCATGATGACATTGAAAAAATTCCCAGCTTCCATCAAAATGAGAAAAACAAACTGAAGGTTAAAAATCCAAGCAAAACTGAAACAGAGATTTGTCCACAGGGACGCCCCTTTTTATATTTTGTGTTCAGCAACCCTCACTCAGAGGCCATAAACCTCAATTATGAACATCACAGCAAATCATTAAGGTTGGGGTCCATTTGAACTCTAACAGTTTTTTCATCCTCTGATTTTAAGGGACACTGAATGCTGAAAGGTATAACTGAGACTCTAATAAAAGTGGAGATGGCAAAATGCAGTCTGTAGACCTCTGAAATTACTTCTGTTATCCGTACCAGGGGACGTACATTTTCACCAGATCAAAGTATTAAATCATGCTCTCGAAACATACTGCCTAGAAATTTTACTTTGGAAACTCCTAAAATCCAGTTAAGTTTTTAAATAATACCTCTGATTTTAGGGCTTATCAGCATACAGAGAGTAAGGGAATCAGGGACCTACATCAAAATGAAACCATTGCAGAAATCATTCTGAATCAGTGAAGGAAATATTTAAACATAGCTAGTGTTCAAAAAAATTTTTTTAAAAAAGATAACATCCTCTGCTTAACACTGTGCTTTTCTCTCTATGCTGCCTGATCACTTGCTATGACAGGTATGGAGACAAAAAGCTAAACTAAGCTTAGTCTGTTGCCTGGTGATCCGCAGAGAAACCAAGCATTTACTAAAAAGCTTATAGGAGAACAACACTCTTACAGGCTGTGTTTTTAAACACCCAGGTTTGCCCCTGTGCTGTCAGCCATTTGTGGTGCTTCCTTATATCACATACCTCTGGGTTTTCTCCCCCTTAATCTTCATACTTTCACAACTACTTGGTGGACAGAAATATTAGCCAGTGCAGTTGGCTGAAAATGCCGTTCAGCTCATTTCTGACAGGAACTTAGCAAAATTCATTTCTCACCCTCAAATACATGAAAATGGGGCAAAACTAATTTATATGGGGCAAAACTAGTTTATGTGTTTATTCAGTATTGGCAGACAAGCAAGCTTTGTGTGTAGATGTTACTTCATTTCACTGTACAGTTGCCAGAATATACATTTCCAATCATAGAATCATAAAGTTCATAAGTCCATCGAATCCAACCCCCTGCTCAATACAGGAATACAAATCAAAGGATATCTGCCAGGTGGTTGTCTAAATTCCTCTTGAATGCCTCCAGAACTGGAGCACTCACCACCTCTTGAGGTAACTGGTTCCACTGTCATACATCCAACAGTTAGGAAATTTTCCCTCATATACAGTCAAAATCTTTCTTTCTGTAACTTGAGCCCATTGTTGTGTGTCCTGCACTCTGGGATGATTGATAACAGCTCCTGGCCCTCCTCTGTGTAATAGCCTTTCAAGTACTGTATTTGAAAAGTGATATCATATATCCCCCCCATCTTCTTTTCTCAAGGATGTATTGATGGACATTTAAAATGACCATCAACACATCCAGAATGTGCCCTTTCTTTGATTTTGATTGTATTTGGAACATAGCATCCAATGAACTTTTCCATTCTCTTCCCAATTCTGAGCACAGTTGACAAGAACATGAATATGGCCTGAGCATATTTAAAGAAGAAATCTATTCCTCAGTTTTATTGGGTTTAGCCATATTTAAGTTTTTAAATGGCTGCTCTGAAGCCATGGGTCGGCTTTCCAGAGATCCTTTCTGAAATTTTTCAGTTATAAACAACAAGAGGTGAGTCTATGGCTTCTCTGTAGAGTTTGAGAAGGGAACAGCCATGAGAGCAATTGAGTCTGACGATATATTCTGAGAGGGAAATTATTATATTTCCATTGTAAAACCATGCTAGATTTTCTATATTCACCCTCTTTTTCTTTTTTTGTAAATATTCTGAATACACTTTCTTATCTATCTTGTAACAGAAATGGTAGAGAAGAAAAGTACATATAAGACTCTGGTTTCTTGTCCTTAAATAGATTGTGCACATTACAGTGACTTGTTAAGAAGTCTTTACATTTTTTATTTTCCCAGGAGACTGGAAAAAATAAAGTGAAAGAGGTTCCCCACTGTAGTCTTAAATAGCATGTAAAACATGAGGTATGGAATGTAAAACACGTTACCTGCTAACATTAATACAAAGTGCAGTTGTCCATGAAAGTTCATATTTAAAAAAATCTAGAAGTTAGTCTTTAAGGTGCCACCACATATTTGCCTTTTCCATTTGTGTTCCCTGTTAGTCTTTAAGGTGCCACCACATTTTTGCCTTTTCCATTTGTGTCACCTGCGTGCAGAGTCTGCCTGTGTGGGTCTTGGGCAAGCTGCACAGTCTTGGGGTGCCCCCAGAAGAAGGGAATGGTAAGCCACTTGTGAGTATTCTCTACAAGGAAAACCCTGGAAAGGGCTGCCATAAGTCAGAATTGACTTTACAGCACATGATTACTATTTATAATAATAACAGGAATTTTCCCCCCGATGGCAATTTAGTAAGTGATATACACATTCAAGGTAAGAATTTTGATTTTTTAAAAATGTGTTTGCAAAAATGATTAAAGCATGTTTGTTGAACATTTTAAGTGCCTGCATTTTGAGTCACACACATTTTTAAAATCATATGCCTATGCACATCTTCTCCCATGAAATCCATTAGCATCCTTGCAAATGTACAGATTTTCAAAGCAAAAAAAGCATTATCTATCTTCCTATGGCTATTTTTGGGAGTTGGGGGTGCAAAATAGCTATTTACATTTTGCTTTGCAATACAAAGCAAATACGAATAAGACCTTGTGTATTCCAATACCATTTAGATAGAATAAACAAAAATATACTATTTGACCTTTATAACTATGTTGCTAACAACACAGATTTAAGATTCTTGCGGCACTCTTAAAACAAACAAATTTCTGTTTGACACAAACTTTTCTGGACTGTGGCTCACTTTTTCAGATGCATGGAAAGTAGCTTCAACAAACAGACAATAATACAGTAACGTGGAGGGTAGGATTATGAAGTGTAATGGATAGGCAAGAGGTTCTACATGGTAGTCAAACAGCATTGTTAACAGTCTTTAGGGACCCTTCATGGCCAACATCAATGGCTCTTAATGGCCACTGGTTGACTACCACCATACTGGATCCCTTATGTTTCCATGACATTTCATGCTCCTATCTTTCCCATTACTGTGTAAATATTCATCTCTTGAAGCTACCGGCCATGCCTCTGAAAAAAAGCGAGCAAGAGTGTATGAAAGTTAATGCCAAACTAGTCATCTTAAAGGTGCTGCAGGACTCCTTGTGGTTTGTCTGGCTACTTGTCTACTAACAATGTGGTGTGGCGTAAAACTATCCTATTTTATAAAGCTTCCACTTACATAACTGTCCCAGAGCTCCTGCGTCGAACTTGGATGCCAAAGGGGTAGTTTTGTACCGATACATCATAGAGACGATTTTCAAGAGTACTTGCAGGAGTGCTAGAGAGGTTCAGTGGTACTGGAACTTCATATCTTTTATTACTGTAATCATAAATCTGTTAAAAAAGAATGAATGGGTGTTATGCTTAGAATATGATCAGAAAAATACACATCAAAAGACTGAGCATGCAGTTTGTTCTCCAGCTTGACTTGACAAGGATCGGACCAACCTCAAGCCTGCCTACCTTGCCAATCCAAAGTTCACCATCTTGAATGGGGAACAACACAGGCAGGCCTCCCTCAACACATATTTGTATACATGTTTTGAATAGCCATGATCAGTTCTAGCGGCTACTCTTGGTCTTGGACCCAAAGCAGTATTACTTTGACATGATTTAAGCAACATTTGCCATTTGTAGTCTGACCTGAACTGGTTCACGTTTGCACTGAAGATGGGAATTAGAAAGTAACTATAGTAAGAATCCATCTTGTTGCTTGCCTCCTCATTCTTTGGTTGGTGTCCTCAGACAAGAAGATGATATAAGAGCACATGATGTACCACCTTGCTAAGGCTAAACAGATCTGTCCAATGCCTGGATGGGTGACCTTCTGTGTAAACCTACCCATACTGTCTTGAGTTCCATGATAGAAGAAAGAGTAATATAAGTGCTGGAAGTAAATACATGCAGAAGATAGTACACCATTACAATGCTGCATGTCTCTATTTCAGGAAACTCATCTGGATAAAGCAATGGCTACATGTAGAATGGCTACATGTAGGATATTTTCTTTGGAAACATTCACTAATAAGAGCACTTAACACTCTACAAACCTCTTTTATGGACTTTTAGAGCCAGTGTAAGAATATAACAATTTTTATGCACAGCACATACTAGTCTTACTCTGTTACCATATTCTCTCACTGATGCTAGGAACCAACACATCTAGCAATCATATTTTGAATTCTTTTTACCTTAAACTGAAACATGTGGTTCTCATGATATATCACTTCCAACCTCAGTGTGCCAATGGGCGTTACTGTCAGCCTGGGACTTTTAATGGATTTCATATTTATCCCAAGGTCTGCCGTTAAACCAGAAGATGTGTATTGAACTTGTTGAACAGTATAAACGTCTCTATCATAATTGTCTGGGTAGTAACAGAATGGTACTCCTTCGGGAACCAAGTCCTGAAATTTTTTACAAAAACACACAGAGAGAGACATTTTGGAATAATGTGTGCCTCGGATAATAGAATTAGCCACAAATAGATTCAGAAATCATTAAAATATACACCATAGTCAATATTTACTCATAATATTTACCCCATCCCTGTTTATACTGTAATTAGTTCAGATTACTTTTTTTAATGGATGTATTTGAGGAACTCTGGAGAAAGTAGAGAATTATGGGGAGTTCTCTATGAATTGCCCAAGAAAGTTCAGAAACCTGAAGCCTAAAGACCATCTGCTAATGCCTTCCTTCCTGTTAAAAGGTGCTGCGGTAAACTAAAGGAGCAGGAGTTTAATGAAGAAAGGCTGATATTTTCCATATAGAGATGGATGGAAAAAAGGTAACTGTGTTTTACAGACAGACGATGTGCCTTTCTACAACCTTCCAAAGCACATTCAAAACTTCAGGAAGGCTTAGCTTCATTTCACACTATAAAGCTTCAGAGGCACTATAAAGAGACGACTCAGGGGGAAAAAAGCAGAATACTATTGGCATGATTGGAGGAGGAAGCTGATGTTTGCAGTAGCATTAAAGGGAAAAAAATGATAAACATGATAAATGGGAATGAACAACGAAATGAGGACTGAACATGCCTAGCAAGCATGGAATATCATATAAGTCGTGGGGCTGGACAGAGAACACAGAAGAGGGATCCCCTTTGTTGAGACAGTAGTTACCTGGACTCTGTGAGACCATTCGTTTTACACGGAAGGATGCATCACAACATTTTGTCACAGATGCCACGTTTTCTAGAATTATTTCCCAAACGATGCTTTTCAAAAGCGCTGTTGTTGCCATGATAAAGCTGGCTTCCTCAACTTAATACTTTCCTGGATAGACTTCAAATTCTTAGATATCACTGGTAACTCTGAACTGGTTCTAACCCATCTAGAAATTTACAAGTGGGGAAGACTGCCCTAATCCATGGGATTTCATCTGTTCAGAACCTATTTGGTTATATTTTGTCTCTGGTCTACACTATTCTTCTCTTCTTTTTCTTCCCACCCAGGCCAGCAGGGACACAGTTCATTCACTCTTCCAATGCCCTGGATTACTAAAAGGTATTCCAGTGTCTAGTGAGATAACCTTGACCTATTGCAAGTGCAGTCATTAAGTGACTAGCTCCAAAAATCAATCAGCAAATAAAATAGATGTTCTGATTGCCTCTAAGTGTGTGTGCAAAACAATTCTCTATGCAACTAAACAGCTTTGGCCTCGCTGCCTTTCCAGTCATTTAGAATAAGAGCCAGATGGTGGCAACAGTAGTGAAGACTGGCTTCTACTCCTTGCTCCAAGACAACCAACATATTCCTGTTGCCTCAGGGTTGATAGTTTTTATTAAGAAATTCATCTTTCCCTTCTGGTTGTCACAAAGGAAGCCATTGATTGTTATTGGGTACACAACTTCCTGCAGATGCTAAGAAGAGTGGCTACCTGAGACACATCTTGTGCCTATGTACATTGGTACTCAGTGTTCAGAAATACCTCCACCCCTTCACACACACACACACACACACACAGAGAGAGAGAGAGTTTTGGAATGCAGAATGAGCCAGGAGCAGAAAGCAAGGGAAAAGACTATCTATCTATCTATCTATCTATCTATCTATCTATCTATCTATCTATCTATCTATCTATCTATCTATCTATCTATCTATCTATCTATCTATCTATCTATCTATCTATCACATTCATGTCTGTTGTTACTTAAACTTTACTTTGCTACAGAATATTATTCTTTCTGGCTATATAGTGTTATTGTTCAGAGCTAAGATATTATCTTGTACAACCCAATCCTATATAGACAGACAGACTGACAGTAGAAAGAGGTATAGGTACACATACTCCCAACTCAGCATAAAATTTGCAGATAATGCTTGGCATGAATTCAAGGTTTTGCACTTAAAAATCTTTCTTGGATTATTTGAGGGTGTTGGTTCTGTAATGATGTAATCCTGTACCACTTACCTAGGATTTGATTAAATGTGTACTGCTGCGAAGCATGTTCACAGAGAGGTGTTTTTGTTTTGTTTTGTTTTTTGAACATGGCATATGTTATATCGTTTTCCTTTAAAGTCATATTTTAATATATACAGGCAATGAGCTAGATTTAAAAGAATTGATCAAAGGGCATCTTCTCTACTATTCGGATGAAGGAGGCATGTAAGAAATGACAAATTAAAAATAATTTATAGGTGATTAATTATTTCCAAACTATAGAACTATGTAAAGACACACTTAGGCCAAAATGGAAACAACAGTTTCAGTCTATTGCCACCATGCATTTTAAAGACTTACATTCCACAAGCAGCCAAGAGCTTGACAGCTTTCAAGTGTTGCATCTGGATCAGGATGGCAATCAAATTTGTCACTATTTGTCAAGACCTGGGCCCAAGAAATTGTGTGTGACTCTCCCAATTTAAGCTGAAGTCCTGTTATATGGGCAACCTGTGGAAATTAATAAAAGTTAAGCAAAAGTCAGGTCATCATTCATGCATATATAACATTTAAATTATTTGTCTTTTAAAGGTAAATTTAGGATTGAAATAGGCATACACTCTACAAATTGCTAAGGTTAAACTCTTATATGATACTTTTCTGCTTTTCTCCTGTAAATTCACCTGAGAATTTAATTGAAGAGAGGTACAGAAACATCTATGGTAAATGCATGACTAGTACAAGGAAACACCACTTAAAATATCCTTTTAAAATACCTGGAAATAAACATCAGTCCTTGGTCATTACTGTCCCTGTCCATTTTAAAGAAAAAATGGAGGAACACAAACGCATTATTTTATTACATTTATATCAGTGTCATCATTAAGTCACAGCATGAATGGCAATGATCCTGTTGGAAGTGGACTTAGAAATAAAAAGTCCACAGAAAGGGGGAGGCAGCATTATACAACTTTATTAGCAGGCAATGAGGGGCAGCAAGGGAAAAAGCAGAACGTTTGGAACAAGCGGGATGAGACTAAAAATCTAAAGCGAGTGAATGATTGAATTATTGGCTGATTTCCTTTATAGTCTGCATTTCTCCCAGAGCTCCAGGGCAGCGTACAGATATTTTTAGAAGAGTCAGCTATGTTATTGTTACAATGCAGTAGTAATAACAACAACAACAATCAGAGGAGGAGGAGGAACCTCATGGCACAGTAGTTAGACAGAAGTACTATATCAGGACTCTGCTCACAATTTGAGTAGAGTTTGATCCCTACTGACTGAGATAGACATCTCAAGGTTACCTCAGTCTTCCATCCTTCAGAGGTCAGTAACTGAATGCACAGCTTGCTGGGCAGGCGTGCAATGTATAGCCTGCATAATTAAATTTTAAACTGCCCAAACAGTGCTTCAAGTGCTATAGGGCATTATATAAGCACTATACTTTGCTTTGCTTTTAATAATAGCAACAATAGCACAACAGTCTAGTAATTTAAAGAAATGTTTAAAAATAAAAAAAATGTGCATTACAAAACACATAATCCTAGTAACCTATTTAAAAGAGTGAAAGCAAACAGAACAACATATCCCCTCTTAGAAGTTCCTTTCTCCTTAACCCATTCTGCTGACAAAGGAACAGCAGGGAGGAGGGGACAAACCTAAGGCTGATGATGTCATCAGCCACCATTATTTTTCAGAAGCAAAAATTCCCAGGCTCCCATGGAATCCTTTTCATAATCAGGATACGGTTCGGGGCCACAGGATGATGGCAAGATCACTTCCCCCAGGATGACTTAACCTGCAGTGAGCATTTTCTGTAACTGAAGCCTTTTCTCCTTCCTCTCTAATCTGGTCATTTGAAACACATGGGACAAAAAAGTTTCAGATCTAGGAATTTGTGAGTATAATCAGCAATACTTACCTTATCTGAAACACTGTAATTGACATTTACAGGATATGTCTGAGCCACATTGTTTGACGTCACTTTCAGCTCTGTCGGCTGAAGGGGCAAGCCAAGGATTTTAATTTCCTCAAATTGTAAATTATTGGGATCTGTGTAGCCACTGTGTACCACAGTCATCGTTAAGACATTCTGAAAGACAACAAAAAATACAGATAATATTGCAACAGAAAATATTTTAAAGGGGGAAGTAAAGAAGCAAAACAGTGATACATTTTTCCTTATTTTCTCATGATATTTCTTGTTCAACATCTTGTAACACAGATACCTTGTTGCTCATATGCATTGGCAGAAGTGCAATAGTATAAATCACAGTGGCAAATTTCCATTAAGGAGTTGCAGTGTGCATTCCTTGTTGCAATCTAGTCTCATGGGTTGGTGAGTGTTGAGAAATGCAAGTGATAACTCCTTAACTATCAGGATTTTCCTTTGGTGATTTATGCCATTGAATTTGCCTTACTATATATAAGTAAAAGTGTTGCAGTCATCACCACTCCCATTGCTACTTTTTAAGGACAATAATCATCCTTTAGGAATGAAAAGCAAATTGGAGTTTCCCCGTTTGTGAAAACCAGCTGTCATAAGTGAATTTGTGGCAGATATTCAATAGGATTGACATAGGACTAAATCTGTCCCCTGCTTCTATGTAAACAGCACTGATTTCAAGTTAGAGGAGAAAATGCAGCAAAGGTCTTCTCAATATCTTCTCCACAGCGTGCTCTACGCAGAGTGTCTTATGCTTAGATTAGAATTGTTGTGAATTGATTGCACTGGATATACTCTCAGAAGAATGATTTGATTATTTGTTTGTTGTATTAAAAAACTTGTATTTCTTCCTAAATGAAAAGATTTCATGGTAGACAACAAAGTAATTCTGGAACAATGTTGAATAAGGTAAGCAGTATTTTATTTATTTTAATTATTTGAAATATATTTATGCTGCATTTCCCCTTAAAAAGGACCCAAGGCAGCTTACATCATTAGGAAACAATATGAAAGCTAACAACAGTGAATATACAAATACTAAAAGGGATCAAACAAAAAACATACAAAAGACATAAACAACAATCAATTTAAAAACCCTACCCTAGCCCCACTATTTTATGATGAGAATGATGATCATCATCATCATCATAATCATCATCATGTTTTATTTATATGCTGCATTTCTCCCAACAAGGGACCCGAAGCAGCTCACAACATTAAAATTCCCACAATTTAAAAACGCAGCAAGTTAAATATTAAAATATAAATTAAACAATGTATGATTTAAAATACAATTAAAAGATTAAAACATGAAAACATAAAAAAAGATTAAAATTATCTGCTCTAAGCCTAATAACATTGCTGAAGATCCTAGTATTGACAGTGAATATGCATGGTTTACATGCCCAGTTTAATATCCAGAATAACTCCAAAGACTGATGCATACCACTGAACACAGCAGAACTGACCTCTGAGTAAAAATTGTGCTGCACTGTAGTTCTACTTAATAGCACCAAACAGAAACTCTTGTAAGCAGTTATCTTTCAGATTTGCTGACATTAAATATGGCTGTATGTCTTCCTTTGTCAAATGACAATATTGCTTCTTGTCAGCTACCAAATATTACTTTTTAAATAACACTGAATGCCAGACGATGGACTGTGAAATTCTACTTTATGTCAGCTATCAAACACTGACAGTCCTAAATTCAAATCAGCTGTCAACACTTGTCAGATAACAACCATTTAATATACAAATTGAATAATACACCAAATGTTAAGTAGAAAGATAATTTCTGGGTACAAGGCTGCAAAATTGATGGAAAACCATTTATGGGGAAATATTTATTTTATTTTTAGTGTTAATAACAGTACTTACATTGGAGACGCTGAACTGATATAAGATGTAAGCTTGATTTTCCACTGTACCTAAAATATAGAGTCAAAGGTAGAAGGTGTGTGGTTTTGTTTTGTTTTTTAATGCATCACAATGTAAAGTTTGGTTAAGTAGAATTCAAACACAGGTTTAAGGGTTCTGGAATGAGGGGAGCACAACATGTATTATCAACTGGAAGAACAATGAAGTGCAAAGAATAATCAAACAAACCAAGAAATAATATCAAATGAATGAAAGACTTCTGTTCTACACATCCCACGGCTTTCTGGCAATGAATGTTTTATGCAGGACCCCTGAGAACCTCAAGATTTGAGAACCAGGAAGTTTGTTGCATCACCCCACAATTCTTTGGTCTGGAAAAAGTCGGGTCCTCTGGTTTGGATGAATCCAAACCAATCTGAATCAACAAATTAGTGATTTTTGATTAACTTCATGGTTTGTTATTAGCTTCATGCCCATCTCTACTCAAAACAGAAATAGGAAATATTTTGTTACTGCAAAATCAACCCTGTTGCTGATTCCATATGCCTTACATGGGCATATATAATGCAACAAGATTTCAGCTAGTGATTATTAATATTGCTTTTTCAGTTTCATGATCAACATTTCCTTTAGAAACATTTTGAAGGACCACTTATGCAAATCTGTTATTATTTCTGGACTCTCTCTCTTTTTTGGTATTTTTAATGGGGGGGAATTAAGTCATTGAATGGTAGGTAAAACCAGCATGTTAGTAACATCCTACTACTAAAACAACGAGTTATGGCCAGAATCTTAACACTGAGATATATCAGTGTAACTGCAGCAACATAAATTGCTGTGGCAATCTGAGGCTAGTTAAGGTGCTGACCTTTTATCCCTCTTCATGTACTAAGTCACATGACTGTGCATGAGACAAAGAACACAATTGCTAACTCCTTATCTCAGTGGTCCCCAACCGTTTTGCTCCACGAACCAGTTGGGGAAGGCGGGGCACAGACCCCTGCACTTGTGCACATGCACAAAGGAGCAGGGGGCACTCGCGCAGGTACGTGCACACTCGCATGCAGGCACAAAGGGTGGGGGATGCTTAGGCACCCACACACACTCGTGAAGGGGTGGGGGAACGCACACGCATACATGAAGGGACTTGTGGGGGGAAGAAGTGCGTGCGGGGTGGTGAGAGATCTGTCTCCGTGGTCCAGTCTGGCCCAGGCCACGGAGCAGCACTGGGCCACAGACCGGGGGTTGGGGACCCCTGCCTTAACTGGTGGAAGTTTACCACTGTAATTTACACCGTAGTATTTGTGGTGGCTAACGTAAATAATACAATTCTGGTCAATGACATTTTTTATATAAAAATAATATTCTAAGCTCTGGTGGCAAGGGAGTTTACTCATTCCTATTCTTTCCTCTTATTTTTTAAAAGAACAGCCTAATCATCCCTGGGTAGGCAGCTGAAATTCCTCTCAACATGGAAAAACTTTCCCATCGGCACCTTTGCTTCATACGTTGCTATTAAATGCATAGGAAGTCTCCTCCACCCCAAAAAGCGTTTCTGGCCCTAGCTATATGAGCATTAGTCCCTTCTCTGAAAGAAAACTTTCAGATGCATAAAACAACTACAGTATTCCAACACATTACAAAAGACAGAAGAGGTTTGCCCATTTACTTGAGAAGGTACATTCAGTCTGGCATCCTTTGCCTTCATGGCTAAAGTGGTGCTTTTAACATCACATTGCTACGCAGCAATGAGCAGGTGAGTATGTTCGTCTTTATGCTGATGAAAGCCTCACTGCATTTTTCTCGGCAATTAGAGGTATAAGAGGAGGACCCTACATTATTTTTGCTGCACATTTTGCCAACGCTCACAATTTCACCAACACAAATACAAAGAGTGGTGCTTATATACCACCCCATAGCTCTTAAAGCACTCTCTGGGCAGTTTACAATTTAATTATGCAGACTAGACATTTCCCCCTCCCCCAGCAAACTCACTACTCAGTTTAGCGACCTCAGAAGGATGGAAGACTGAGTGAACCTTGAGCCAGCTACCTGGGCCGGAACCTGGGCCGTGAGCAGAGTTTTGGCTGCAGCACTGCAGTTTAACCACTGAGCCATAAGACGCCCTGCCTCAAATGTCATCTCTGCTCTGAGAAGTAGAAAACAAAAGGATCTCTGTATACCAAATAATTTTAAATTTACTCTGACATTTTAATATTCTCAGTTTATATGGGTGACCCTCTGTACTTGTGACATTTCACTCCCGCTCATATATTCAAAGTTCAAAATTTCAAAACACCACGGTGTTCTAGAGGAAGAAAGCTTAATAAACTTATGTCTGTCAAGCACTTTATCTTTGGTGAAGCAATTCCATTTCAGCCAAAAAGAATTAGGACTACAAAGAATTTGGCACCCTTTCCTATACCAATAGCTATTAAATATTTTGTGTGTGTTCCTGATTAGAAAAAGAAACTCACATAGGGTGAAATCCTGTTGGTGAGGCTACACCTATGTAACAGGAATTACATCATTGTCAGTGGCAGATGGAACCTGATCTTCTTGTTTTCAATTTCGGCATACATCAAAATTCACCTCATGGTACACAAGCCATGCACACCAGAAAACTAAAAAGAAATGAATTTTTTTATCACTAGCAATCTGCCACTGACCATAAATATCACTCCTGTTACACAAGTAAAGTTCTGCAACTGGATTTTAGGCACAGTATGACAGGAACATTAGCAAGTCTTTGGATCTGAGTCCTGAGTTCGAGTCTTTGGTACCAAGTCCTGAGTCAAACATCCTGAGTCATTATTAAAAATAAGCTTTTTCCCCAGAAAAGAGAGAGGGGTAGGTAGGTTCTTAGTCATGAGTTGAGTTCGAGTCACTGGGGGGAAAAATGAGTCAAGTCACCAGTGCAACTTGAGTCTGATTTGACAGTAGGTCTTGCAAATAGAATCCCCATCCGGCAGTATAATAAAACCATGAATTTTGTATAGTGCTTCTTCTCTCGTGTAAGGTCTCTGATATGGACATTGAGTTCCTGTACTTTTCAATGTTTATGGCTCATTTTAACAGAGTGTTGGTGCAACTAAAGAAGCTCTCTGACCAAATATTGTCTCCAAGAGACCCGACCAAACCTTGATCTAAGTATGGATAACAATGTTGCCAGCAATCCCACTTACAGTAGGTAGGTAGGTAGGTAGGTAGGTAGGTAGGAAGGAAGGAAGGGAGAGAGGGAAGGAAGAAAGGAAGAAAGAAAGAAAGAAAGAAAGAAAGAAAGAAAGAAAGAAAGAAAGAAAGAAAGAAAGAAAGAAAGACTGCAGGTTCTGGGAAATACAATGCTAAGATCTACCATATATCTGGAGAATAAAGAGGACCTTAGAAAATTAGAATGCAGATGGTATTTTCCTACTCTAAAAAAGTTATCCATCATAAGTTGTTTAAAATAGAAAACAGATTTCAGTAATGCCCTTAAATTTTTCAAAACTTTAAAATGATACCATTATGGAGAGCAAACTACATTATATATGTCCTACAACAGAGGTGACCAATTTGATAGGGCTTGAGGACCATGTTCAACACCCCCCAGGAATTTTCAAAGCTTCGACCCCACTGCTAAAATTTTCATGGCAACAAAAACTAACTTTCCTTCCTTCCTTCCTTCCTTCCTTCCTTCCTTCCTGCCTTCCTTCCTTCCTTCGTATTTTTACTTTAGAACAGAACTTGTATCTCTTAGATAACTTTTCATATTGTTTTCAGTCAAATAAGCTTCATTTTAAAAAAGGCAGCTGTAGTCAAAAGCTTTGGACTCTGTTTTTCCTCTGATTATTTGCACAATCTCACCATTCTGAATGAAAACATAAGAACAGCAACACATTTATCACTTCTCTTAGTCTATCATTTTTGGACTTACCTCTGGTTACGCCATCATCCCAAAATAAGTCTCCAACTGCTGACTGATTGCCATCTAAGGCAATTATCAATCCCATGGGATTTTGGCGGCTGTAAAAATGAAAAAAAAAAAATGCTTTTTTAAAGATATGAATGCATAGAAAAATCAAACAAGTCTCCCATGTTCATAGTACTAATAGTAAAAACAAAAAGCCATTTATTTGTTCTAAAATTGCCATCAAGTAACCAAAGGAAAAACAATAATAGGTCCATGAAAGGGTAAATAAGAGCATTTGGCTCATTTGTGAAACCTTGTTAGTTTGTTTGACTGAGTAAGTGAGTGAGTGATATTCTGCCTTCATGACAACTAACAGTCTAAAACAGACAGTAAAAAACATGAATTATATGTATACTTCACTTAAGTGTCTAGTAAAATAGAAATAATATTTGTTAAAAAACCAGGAAACAAATATATAGTAGCATTCACTTATCACCCAACAGCTCATATAAATCAATCATCTTTTAAAGAATAGCACAGTGGAACGGAGCTCCATAACTGGTGTGCCACTACTGAGAAAGCTCTGCCACATTACTCAGGGAGCCCAAAAGCAGATTGTCTCCAACTAATCCCCTTCTCAGTACATCTATACCAAGGAGTAATTCATCCTGAATCAGCATGGGTTTTATACACTACTATGAGCATCATGGGAACTGGCAACTTACTGCTATCTAATGTGGAAATTTCAGAACAAAGGTTAATTTGCCCATTTCTCACATGATGAAATTAGTGTACTTACAATTTGCATAAGCAAGTATACATATAAATAAGCATGCTATTAAGTAAAATAAATATAAATTTGCCTCTTTAACTATAATATGCTACGAAAATTTATAACAAAATAGCTCTCGGATACTGTATTTCATGGGTATACAGTATCCGAGATATGATTTCTATGCTGTGGCATTTATCAGCTCTTAATGACTATTAAGATTTCCATCAAATTCACAGAAAGAGTTCTGCTGTATCTGTTTTTCAGGTTATGCTACAGCAACATAATAGAAGAATTCTCAGAAAGCTACTTGTTCCACTTCAAGACAATCTACAGTCCTTTAGTGATCTTCAGAGAAGACACAGAAGATTCAGCTATTGACACCGCTGTATACATATCCACTAGGATATAAAACAGTGCTTCCCAACCCTGTTCTTGGACTACAACTCCCAGAAATCCTGACCAGCACAGCTAATGGTGAAGGCTTTTGGGAGTTTCGGTCCAACCTCATCTGGGAATCCAAGGTTAATAACCACTGAAATAAAGGCTGGAAATAACAGGTGCGCCAAACCTGGTCCACAGAAAATACCTGTAAACTGTTGTGTTGGCTGGTTGCTGAGTTGGAAAGATGTAGCCTCCTCTGAGATGAAGTCCTATTTTGTCTGCTGGGAGATGCATCTGACATTCTTGTTTTCTACAAACTGCCTTTGAACCCTAATTAGAGAGAATCACAAGGCCAGAATACATGTTTATCCAGATGAGCATTGATGCTTCTCATCTCTCTGACAACAGAGAATCTTATGGCATCTTGATGGGTTTTATTTCACATAGGTTTTCATGGACTATATAGTCTGAATCAAAATTTACAATGACTATGGCCCTTGTTTGCCAGTTCTTCCTCTTCCCTCTTCCTTATAGTCCTCTCTGTCCCATCCAAAAGCAAATCTAGAGAATTTCCCAACCTTCCAGAAGTTACATTTCTGACTGGGGAGATTTCCTCATCTTGACTCCACTGAGCTCTACCTTTCTACCACTGGAGGTCCACTGTTGAACATTGGCCTTAGATGAGAGAAAGTCTAATTGAAAGTCAAGAATAGCCATGAGTAGAAGGGGTTCAATATGCCAGAGAATGAACATTGAAAAGAACGACTTATTGTCATATGTTTCTATGTGTGTAATAGTGATGGCCAACATTTTCATGAGAGAGTTTAATTTTAAAAATATTCATCTATACTTACTGTCTCATACTCATACCATACAGCATCAGGCATATATGCAGTCACTGTATCCACACCCTAAAATTAAACAAGCAAGCATTTCATTTTTTCAAGGCACATCATGGAGAGATTTTATGACATGGGACAATAATATCCTATTGATAGAAGAAAAGAATAGAATTTATTTCATATTTACTGTACTGGGAACTCCATTCCAAAGTTTTCTTGCAGAAGCATCATCAAAATCAATGAAGGCTATGCAAAAAACACTGTGTGCTCCCTTCATCAACAAATGGCCCCACATATCCTTCAGTTATGGTTCTGGGCCAAGAAGCAGATTCACCATGATAGATTTAAGTGCACAAACAGAATTGTGTTGGTTTCTATGCAACTGCAGTCTCCACTTTTAATCAAAGAGTGAACATTCATAATACAAGTATATCTCCCACGAGAGAATGAATACATTCGTGAAACTGTTATACTCATAATAAATGGCTATTTAAATCAACCTCTTCTCTATAGTTAGGAGGAACTTCTGCTTTAACTCATGTTGTTTAATTTATCACACTGAACATCTCCGACTGATACTTCTCAGCAGCATTTCCTCTGGTATTATATCAGAGTAAGTTTCCAGTTCATTTTCCTCTTCTGAGGAGCGCAGGAAGCCACGCAAAGTTCAATGGAAAATAATTTAAGAGGCAGTTGAGCAAGGAGCAAGTACTTATCACACCATTACATCTGAAGCATAGTCCTTTGCCTAGGAGGCCTTTTTTCTCCCTTCAAAACAGAAGATGGAAGGAAGATGGAAGATACCACTAATGGCCTTATGCAAGAGGACAGGATTGTGTCATTACTTAGTAGTTTTCTTGTGATGTGCACATGAGATTGAAAACAAAGAATTCTTTTTTAAAAAAACAATTAATTATTCACAGAGGTTGCAGGTTAATAAAGTTAGACGTACTGCATCCAGGACTGGAGTAATAAGAAGTCCAGGGCCCCATAAGAACTGTCTGTCGATAGCCCAGGTGGCTTCATCCGAGTAGAACCTGGAGGAAGAGCATGACATTGCTATTAATTTCAATAATATGGGGCATCATAGGTTGCACTTTGTATTTCAGAAGCACTAAGATCATTAGAAGAAAGGAGCAAAATAAATGTAAATAATAAATAACAGACTATAAAAAATTATAAAATGCTGACCATACAACATGCATAATAGAAAACTGAACACATAGAGATTATTATGGATGCATTATTATGAAAGCATAAAGATTATTATGATCCTCCATTATTATCGATCATAAATACAAGAAAGAGGGAGAAAGAAAGTGAGAATGTAACATCAAACCCACTTTCCATCAAATGTGATCTTTGACTTAAAGATAAAACATTATACTTACTCATGTAGAACAGGTCTTGCTACTGTGCTTCCTTGGGTATGTGCTTTGTAAAAAAGGGTATAGAGGTATGGTAACAAAGTGTAGCGGATGTTTAGATAGTGTTTGGTTGAGTTCACCAAACGAGAGTTCTGTCCAAAAGATGCAGGATCTTTAGGCTGAAAATAGATGTTACAAGTGTTATTGAAAATAAAAAGGGGGAATTTAACCAAACCTAAATCTGATCCGAGTCCGAAAAACTTACTTCATTTATTTCACTATTGTGATTCCTAGAAAACGGATAAAATGCTCCAACTTGCAGCCACCGTCGGCAGAGTTCTTCTGAGACATTATCAAAAAACCCACAAATATCTGCTCCAATCTGAAAATCATGTACATATTAGAAATGTGTTATAGTATAGTAAATTGATATTGGATCTAGCAATAGCATAATTTCCAAATGGTGTGTTGAGGCAGACATCTTTTTCGTTGAGAGTATGGAACTGAACTATACATTTTACATGACTGCAAAAAAGTCTTGAATATGATTGTTTTGCTCCAATGTGAGGATATAAATTTAACTAATATAAAGTAGAAACCTTTGTTTTGGTTCATTTAATGTGAAAAGAGATGACAGAGAGAATGTGCGTTTCCTGAGATAACCTGTTCTTCTAACAATAGAAATCTGTGCTCCATCAATCATGCTTGCAAGGTGGGCACACATTTACCTTCCAATGGCCAATCAAAAAGCAAAACATGTAAGATGAAAGATATATAGGTGTGCAAAATTATGTGGTGTGAAAACAGATGTCTGTTACCAGAGAGCCCTTCTAAGAATCTGCTAAGCATATTGTCCATGTTGACCCTAATCCAAGAGGAGGCCAAGAAAATCTAATTTGTGTTTTGGCAGTTCAGGGCAGGCAATAGGGAAAAAAATGAAAGTGATTTTTATTTGAGAATTTTGAGATGTCCTTTGTTCATAATTTTGTAATTGTACTTAGTGTTATCTTTATTCAGAATATACTCGATGTGAAGAAAACTGGTGTTGACCTCAATCACTTTATTTTCATCCTCCCATTTCTGATGGCTTTCCAGTAGATTTTCACAACATTGCAGTTATGAAATCTACCAAAGAACTCCTTGACTGTGTTCCTATCGGCTATGTTTTATAATCACTGGTAAACTGTTTATAGTAAGCCCTCATTACAGCTCTTGATGATTGTTTTTTTAAAATCTGTACTAAGCGAAGAAGGCACCATTATGGCCATAATACATGACTCGCATGAGGCAGCTGACTTGGCAAGACACAAGTTGTGTGGAACTGATCTACAGGATATGATATACACCCAGATCTTTCCAAAGAGCAATGACTATTGAGGAAAGAATCAGCCAATGGAAATCAAAGGGAAAAAGCCACTCTGCCATGAGTTCTAACAACAACCAATAACACAAGGGGGGCAGAGTCAACCAAGCATAAGGTAGGCTTCCCCTTACCAGCAAAAAAAAGTGGTCCAAGTATAGTTCACCAGATGTTATTGGACTGCAGCTCTCCGTATTGCTAGCTATGTAGGCTAGGACTAATGGGAGGTGAACTTCAATATGTTCTGCAGGACCACACATTGCCTCTTCCTGCTTTATAAGAACCAGCTTAATTGTATTTTTAATTTTTTTTTTAAAAAAAAAGCCTTACAAAAGGGTATCCAAAGAGACCAAATTCCAGCATTCCTGGGAGGGACCACTTAATATCATTCCAGGTGGCAGCATTATCCCCCAGCCAATGTCCGGAGAACTTTCCAGATCCAGCAAAAGTAGAACGAGACAGCATGAAGCTTCTTTGCCCAGGGAAAACAGTTTGGAGAGCTCTGAAAACAAAAGGGATAGGTGGCATTAGATCAAGATGTTCCGTGCTGATGTAAGAACTAAGGCTAAGGGCTGAAAGTGATATTTTCTAAAATATCACCATTTTATGCAATCTGGACACTTGTATTTGCTTCCAGCAGTTCATCCATAAGGAACTGTGCCATAAACCACCACGTATTTCCTTCAGTGACTGGCTGCCTGGGTTGGATTTTTAAACGAATTGGTATGCATTATTGCTTTGACTGTGCTGTTAGTACTGCTTGTGTTTACCATTCCTCAGAGTGGTATTTGTTTGTTCCTTTTTAAGATCTGTCGTCTTACTGTTTTTCATTTTAAAATATGGTCTTTTAATGCTGTAAGCTCTCTTTTTTATACTCATTGTTCTTGGCTTTAAATATTGTCTTTTAATGATGTAAGCCAGTGTTGTATACTCATTGATTTTAGCTTTAATTACAGTGGTGCTCCGCATGACGACATTAATTCGTCCCATTAAAATCGCTGTTTAGCGAAATCATCATCATCATCATTTATTTATTTATTTATTTATTTATTTATTTATTTATTTATTTATTTCATTCATTCATTCATTCTATTGGTATCCCGCCTATCTGGTCATGCGAAAACCCTTTCCCCATTGGAATGCATTGAAACCCGGTTTAATGCGTTCCAATGGGGAAAATACCTCATCGTCCAGCGAAGATCACCAATAGGGAAGCCATTTTGCAAGCACCGATCAGCTGTAACAATGGCTGCCATGCAAAGCACGGGTCCAGAAAACACAGGGCAGCCATTTTGCGAAGCCGACAATCAGCAGAAAAAATTGTCGTCTTGCCAACAAACGGTTCGCGAAGAACAGACCTAATCAATGTCCAGCAAAAATCCCCCATTTGAATGACTGTTTTGCGAATTGCTATAGCAATCGCAAAAAGTCATCATTGTGTGGATTTGTCGTTTAGCGGGGTCATCGTCTTGCGAGGTACCACTGTATTGTCTTTCAG